GCATCTCTATAAATGTTTAGAAGATAAACTAAATATATATACATTGTCCACATACATCTGCCGCGAAACATTTTTCTATAGATATTGAAAATGAAAATACTGAAAAATTAAAATTTAGCACTTTTCCTACAATTTTTCCATTACGGTCCATTTAAAAAAAATCATGTATAAACAAAAATTATAGAAATCGATATCGCAAACAACTTTTAGTTCAACAATTTTCATAAAAATCAGAATTTCGCACATTTTGTCAAATTTCTCGAATACGGAGCATTTCAGGAAATTTTGACATAAAGCAAAAATTATAGATAATAATATTAGAAGTAACTTTTATTTGAATAATTTTCTTCTCCAAACATAAATAACAGATATATTCCATAAAATATAAAAACGGCCTCCCATAAAGTACCCCCCCAGATGTTCCGACTTTGTCCAAAATCTAATCATTTCACGTCAGGCCGAAATAAACCTTAAGTTTAAAATTTAATGTTTTTTCCTTTATCCGTTTTTGAGTTTTCTTCAAATTTCGAAATTTACACATTTTCTCAAATATTTCGAATACGGTCCATTTTAGAGAAATTATGTATAGGACAAAAATTATAGAGAATTATATTACAAACAACTTTTATTTGAACAATTTTTATAAAAAATTATGTTTTTTACATTTTGTCAAATTTCTCGAATACGGACCATTTTAGGAAAAATTTTGTATAAAACAAAAATTATAGATAATTATATTACAAGTAACTTTTATTTGAAGAATTTTCTTCTCCAAACGTAAATAACAGATATATTCCATAAAATATAAAAATGACCACCTATAAAGTACCCCCCCAGATGTTCCGACACTGCCCAAAATCTAATCAGCTCATTGGACGCTGAAACAAAGCTTAAGTTTAAAATTTGGTGTTTTTCTGTGTATCGGTTCATGAGTTATGCGTTATACAGACACACACACACACACACACACACACACACACAGACACACACACACACACACACACACACACACACACACACACACACACACACACACACACACACACACACACACACACACACACACACACACACACACACACACACACACACACACACACACACACACACACACACACACACACACACACACACACACACACACACACACACACACACACACACACACACACACACACACACACACACACACACACACACACACACACACACACACACACACACACACACACACACACACACACACACACACACACACACACACACACACACAGACATCATCGCGAAAATAGTCAAAACGGATTCAGGGGACCTCAAAACGTAAAAATCCGTCGAAAACTCGAGGTCGAAAAAAATCATGATTCCTATACTTTCCTTATATCTGTATACAGATAGGAAAGTAAAAATTTCACTAACAAAGTGGAAATTAAATCAAAGAAATAAATGGATAGGTGTACAATAAGAAGAAAAATTACCTTTATTTTTGTGATAATAACAGTAATGCTGGAAATAGTAGACATCAGAAACTAGAAAGTTTTTAAATAAACAATAAATTATCATTTTACGATGTTCTTTAATATCCCTTTATTCTTAAATGTTCATTCAGCAAGGACTAGATTTCAAGATTTCTGCCGTTGATTATAATATTTGGCTGGTATGCAATTTTGTGACTTACTGATCGAAAACCAGTTTTAATCATTCATTCTATGTTTTCTTTAGAACAAAAATGAAAATATAAGTAGCGATCCTTTTTATACATTTTAACTTCACGCTATTATAAATGGTTTCTTCAATGACAACTTATTAGACTTAGGCAACTTCTCGTACATTTTCCAGTAAATACTGTTGCCTGCCTATATTTTATTATTGATTTTTAATGATTATACATAATTTTCTTCAATTTAAGCGTGAAAAATATATAATAATAATAAATTAATGTTTTGTTTTATAAATCCATATACTTTTATTAAAACTAACATATATACTTTTTATTTACGAATTCTATTAAAAATTGTATTTGTCAGTATAGGCAGAAATACTCCTTTAATACCAAAACAAATTGGCGCTGCTGTCGCGCACGGAGCGAATATTCATTTAGGTAAATTCTGCTTAGTTAGCTTGTATTTCGTGGGGTGCGAATCTTGAAGCATCCTGTATGATTTTCAATAAGAATAATTTTCTAAAGGGCAGTAAAGAGATGTTAGAAAAAAATTTACTCGGTTAGGCATGACATTTTCGGATTAATATTTTTCTAATTAATTTGAATATTACATTAAAACGAATATTTACTAATAATTTTTTATTAATAAAAAGTACTCTAGAGAAATATAATATTTAGATGATACACATTTAGTTTAAATACATAAATCTAAAATAAATAAAAAATAAATATAAAACAACGACATAAATAATTTTATTTTAATATATAAGATCACTTTCATTAAAATTCAGATTGCACTTTTAATACCAATAATAGATATATCATTATAGCACAATAATTATAAATATACCTAGATAAGTTATAGAAGTATAATATAATAAAATATAAAAACTCAAGCATTTTATTTTTTAACTTAAAATATCAGAAAATAACTTTTTAATTACAACTAACCAAGAATTTTAAAATTAACATTTTAAATAAGTTCTTTCATGTCTAATATACCTTTAAATATATTTTTTAGCTGCTGTCGCTAGGGTTGGCTACAAATTTGACGTCACAGAAGGTGAGATAGGTGCAGTTTATAGAAGATCCTAATTTAATAATGATATTTTTGGTTGGTTCAACGAATAATAAAAATCATCTAGGTTATTTACATTATTGAACTAAAATATCTCTTAATAAATTAAATTTGTTCCTACATACTATGACTAGAGGCGAATTCAGCTCGTGCAATAAATACCATTAAAATATGTAAATTCCTTTTTCCAATCTCACGTCGTGTAAATCTTTAGAGAATAATTATTTCTATTACTTATTTCTGATAAAATAAACATTACAATGATATCTACTATGATGATATTACATTACACCCTTCCTATGTGTTAGTTTAACATATTTATGGAAGTGTTGTTTCAAGACACATTTGTTAAAATTAACGAATTTGAAATCTTATTACTCAACAATCAATATAAGTCCAGATTGTACGACTTTAAAATGTGCATTAGAATAAATAGATTTGCCTAAATGTTTTTAAAAAAAAAATTAGCAATAATATCTCAAGGAATGTGAACCTATTTTGACATTAAAAAAAATATATTGCCAAAATTTTTAAAAGCTGTGAAATAATAAGATTTCTAATCCTTTCATTATCAATATGTAATTTTAAAATTATGTAGGTATGGAAGAATATCACTAACTATTGCTAAATGTTAAAAGAAGGTTTACACTCTCTAAGAATAGTCTATAAGTTATGTAAGTTAAGTAGTTCCATTTTGTTTCTTTAAAACAAAATATAATCGCCTATCAAAAGGAAACACTGAAGAATTGGCAAAGGTGCTTGAGAAAGGGGGTTCCCAGAAAAACCAACAAAAATGATTAAGCTAGTAAAAATGAGCATAGAAAAAAAAAGATGTAAAGTATTCTGGATAAATTATCTGAAGTCAATATGGATGATAATAAAGAGAGGACGATGCTAATTTAGCTATAGTAGTCATATTTAAATATTTTATCTATCATCTACAACGACCTTTAGTAAAATTTTACTGTTCAAATGTCACATGTCAGAGAAATAATTAATAAAATTAAAAATAGTCTTTGTACGAGCGAGAACAAATTCTTTCTGGCATTCCTCGGCAGAGTCCTCTCAATCAGGCTTGAGTCCAGACACTGGATTACCCATTCTTGGGGTCTAGCCTGCTTTCCCTTCTCTTGCGGTTCGCATGACGACACTGAAGTCCAGATGGCCTATTGTGCCCCTTATTTGGGTGCCCTACTCCTTCCTATTCCTCAGGTCTGTCCAGTGGTCGAACTTCGTCACTCGTGACCCGAGACATCACTGCTTAACTGCCGCGAAATGGGCGTGATCACAAAAACTTTGAAAAACAGTATATGTATCATTTTGAAAGTTTTATTTTGATGAGCATTTCAGCCAAATCCATTTGCCATAGTTCATCCAGAATAATAATTGTGCGAAGATAGTTTTTATGAGATTGTTACCGCGAATTTTTTCAATGTATTTATCGCATCGAGATCAACAAAGGCGACCCGAACTAGTGTGATTTTTAATTCTCATCTTATCACGTTTAAAACGAACAAAGCCCTCTAAAACTTGTGTGCGGCTCATAGTATCTTTCTTAAAAGTCTGTTAAAGCATTTGGTGAGCTTTCTGTTGGAAATATATCTAACATATTTCAATTATTACATCAGGCGATCCCAGCCCTGAGTGTTAAATCGATAATTAGAAAAAGACCCATTATTAATATGATTTTGGCAGATCTGCAAAATAACTTAACTAGTTTGGACGTCCAACGACCTTATTGTACACACCTGTATTAATAATAAAAGAGAAGAAGACAAAATATCTAGTAATAAAGCATATAATATCAAAAAAAAATTGTTGAAAACTAAGAACTAATAAAAATGTGGTACTACTCAAAAAAAAAACAACAACAGATGACATGGCGCTGCTCGGTAAATTGGTGGAAGACTTAGATAACAGCTGGATAAGTTGAGAAAGAAAGTATGAAGAGTCGAAGGATTAGTATATAGAAAATATAGAATGCAGTTTTAATAGTAATCAGAGACAGTTTCAAGTACTTAAGATTCCTTTTCTAAAGTGATAGGGATTTTATTGATTGGATGATGGTATTGTAAAAACATAAAAAGTAAGGAATCAGACAACAATAATTCCATATCTTAATACTAATCTAAAAGCGTGTAACCTCGTTTCAATAGCAATATTTTGTTTAATTTTTAATTGAGACCTATCCAACAACAACTATTTATATATACATATATCAATATTTCGGTAATGCCCTTACATATTTATTTCTACTCAGTCTTAACTAGAAGATTTAAAATTTGAACCTTGATATGCTACGTCCATATTATTGCACTGATTTTCGGGATAGTCTGTTAACTCTTCGTCATCAACAAATTTAATATTATCAACGTTTCCTAAATCTAACGATTTTTCCACTTCCGTTTCTTTCTCCATATCTTCTCTAATATATTTTTTTGTTTCTTTAAGTTTTTTGGATATGCTAGCTATATCGGAATCGACGATCCGTTTGTGGACGAGTGGTTGAATTTCCGACACAAATTTGTTGTCGATATCTTGCGGCGTTTTAGAATTATTACTCGATTTGTATTTTAACTTTGGAAGGGAAGGTTCGCTGTGATGTATATGTGTTTTAGGTTTCGGAAGTAAAATCTCTTCTTCGGGAGTTTCTTTGTTACTACCGGGATCCGCGTATTCCCTGACGGCTGTCATTTCGTGATATTCGCTTTTTTCGTATTCGGGAAACAGTTCTCCGTCTTCGTCTAATGGTGGAATCCATACTAAAAATGCTGGATCCATACCTGTAAAAAAATAATAGCGGTGTTAATAAGTGCAGAAAGTGCGTGATACCGTGGTATATAAATTTTTTCATGGAAGATTATTGTTTTGAAACAATTCTGCTTATAAAAGTGCACATTTAAATAATATTTATTAAATATTTATTAAAGGTCCTTTTGAAGAATCTTAGTTGTGTCTAACATAGGAAAAAATGGTAAAAAAGAAATAAGTCAAATGCAAATGTTGTAAAAGTAACATAACAAAGACTCAAAGCTCTCTAAGATGCAATGGAAATTGTAAAGAGTGGTTTCATAAAAAATGCAATATATTTTTAAATGAAGATTATGAAATTTACAATAATAGTAAGTCTAATAAGAAATGGTTATGCTATGATTGCGTATCATCGCTTCGGAAGATGATTCCAGTCAGGACGAAAGTGATTCGGAACCAGTATCTGAAGATACATCACCAATATCACTAAAACAGAGAAAGACCAAAAGGATGAGTGTTGTAAAGAAACACGAAGATAATGTCCTTAATACCAAGTTCTATGTATACGACTACTTGGATTTGAAGGACACAACCGAAATGGCCTTCCAAATGATCAACGAAGTACGAAAGGTCCTGATTTTGCTTAGTAGGCTGTAAAGTTATTAGAAAACTGCTTTCAACCGACATACTAGCTACTTCCAAAAACCTAGATGAAGAGACCCTAAATAGAGTATTGGGCTTGTGGTGGGACTCCTATAACGATACATTATTGTTCAAATTGAATGAAAACAAAGAATTGTTAGAAGAAAAACGACAAAAAGAAATATCTTGACATCAGTCATAGTATTATTTGATCCTCTGGGATTCATAACATAACATTTTAATGCAATATATATGGCGTTGCGGAAGAGGTTAGGATGAGAAAATACATGTAAATCTAAAAAGTTTTTGGATAAAATGGGCCCAGAACTTTAAGGAAATAACAAAAATTTTCTTCCCCAGATACTACTCAGAATATATACCGAAAAAAAAGAAAATTGAACTACATGTCTTCTGCGATAGCAACGAAAAGGCTTACTCAGCTGTCGCCTATCAATTCGAGCCAAATAGATGTTTTCCTAGCTACAGCCAAATCTAGAGTTCCTACATCCTTTCAAACCCCTTTCAATTAATTGCCTTGAGCTACAAGGAAATGTATAAGCTAGTCGTTTAGCCAGTACGCTTCTTAAAAAATTAGAAATACCGATTCACCAAACTTTCTTCTGGACTATTTCTAAATGCTTACTTAACTGGATTCGCAATGACCAATAAGGGACTCGAAATAAGATTTAACCACACTCGGTGGTACCTGGGAGACCTTCAGATCTCTTACCAAAGTATCAGTGGACCTAGATGATCTAGTAGCACTTATTTTCTCTTAGGAGATAACAAAAATAGTCTATTTAACTTAAATCCTAGTCCAAAATGCCTCCGTCAAGACTAAAAAATCACAACTGTTGATATATTTGTTCTGGAATCGCCGGGTTAAAGCATACTTTCCCTTACTTACCAAGAGAAGTAATTGGACATTCTACAACAAAAAAATTAAAGTAGGTGAAGTAGTCACAATCCTCGATGACAATGCATCAAAATATAAATGGAGACTAGGAAAAAATGAACCCGTCTATCCCGGACTTGACGGAAGAATTCGGATTGCGGACGTAAAAACGTCAACAGGTCTCCTAAAGCCTTGGTTTCTTTGAACACTCCGTCGCGGTGAGCGGACAGTCCATCGACCGCTGAGGACAGCAATTTTCGCCCGAGGTGGTTTGTTAAAAAATATAGAAAATGATAATTTCTCTATGTCTGTACGTGCTGTTTATGTATTATGAATGTAAACGAAAGGTACTAAAATGGATGCAAATAAATTGTTTGCGTTGTTATTATTGTTGGAAGAGGAAGAACAAGAGGAACTGGCAATTGCAACCGTCAAAGTTTCCAATAAGCCAGTGGATGAGTCGTTTTTGTGTCGCGATACAGAAGGTGCCTTTAATATCACTGTGCAGCGGAGGCTTCTTGGAAATGAAACCAAATTTAGGGAGTATTTTAGACTTTCTACAGATCTTTTTGAATTCGTGTTGAGTTTTATAAAGGACATAATATCCAAGAAACCTAAAAATAAAGTCATGATGTCATCTGTATGTGTGAATTTGTCACTCATTGTTTTAAAATTAATAACAATATAGTCTCCGCACACGCCGACGATTCCGCTGATATCAAACTCGACAGATATCAACCGACTCTTCGCGACAAATCAGCGGCATGACGCCGTCCTGCTCAGCTAAGCGGATTCAAGAAAACCATTCCCATTTAAATACTTTGGTTGGATAAAATCGTCAAAACGCGACGGTTGACGGACTGTCCGCTCACCGCGACGAAGTGTTCAAAGAAACCAAGGCTTAAGAAAGCCAAGCCGGTTAGTAAACTATGCAGCTTGAATTTGAACAGTAGCAACTTCAAGAGACAGGAGGATGTTGTTGACTAGAATATTGCATTTAAGCTTTATTTATGTTGCTAACTAAATTATTTGTTTATAAAATTATTGAATGATTTTAATTTGTCAGTTAATTTTGATTTAAAAATACACTCAACTGAACATAAACTTTAGCCTAGAATATAGATAGGCGGCCATTTTTTTTGGTGCCAGAGAAGCCGTGTTGTCATTTGTGTATGTTTTTACGAAAATTTACGAAAAGTTAATTAACGATAGTGAATATTATTATTAGGTTACTAATAAACATTGCAATTGAAGCAAATTGTTGGCCTACGTATATAATAACAAAGTAACTTGCAACGGTGAATTAATAAGGCCCCTTTGAAATTTATAATTACACGATTTTGCCTTTATTATTTTTTGATTGGGCTTTCTTTACAGTGTTTTTAAGTGTTTTCCAGACATAAAATGTCCTTTTATGGGCCAATATTGTCCCACAATCGGGTTAATTTTTTTATTGTTCATTCAAGGTCAGTCACTATTAGCGCCGCTCTTATTTTGACATTTGAGCATGCGTAGATCATTTACGTTTAAGAAATTACTTTATTAAGGATTGTGCCTGTCCTTAATTGTATCTAAACGATTTATAGCAAGAAGTTTATGAAAATTTATACCTAAGAGTTTGGTGCCATCTGAAGACCAAGGTTTCGTTCACCTATAGAAGATCGTTCGAGTCCAGAATAAGAATCCCTTTGAAGAAGGCCTAGAATTCCATATATATCACCCTAATATGACTACCTTCTGTTACAACAGATAAGTGTTTTTTTTTTAATAAATCATCCAAATTTGAATTAAGTTATTCTCTGTGAATTAGAATTTGTTACTGCCTTGTCTAAAACTTGGTTTAAATATAATATCTTAATGGTTAGTGATTTTCTATATTTTTATCACTAATCTATAGTCAAGTATAATAAGTTTTAAATATAGTGGTGTCCAACTTATTTTTCAAGGTAATACGAGTTATTTAATAACCTGACTCACTCCCAAAATCAATTGAGCTTAAAACACTATAAAAAATAGATAAAATAACAAGTATCACCACATCTACCACAACCCATTCATAAATATTGTTTGTTTACACACCAACATTAAACGTCAAATAAGGTTTAAAATGGCGTCGTTGTTTACATTACTGATATTATTGCCATGGAAAATGGTACAGTAATAAAAGAATTATGTTAAAATTTTTATTTATATATTTATTTACACAATGATGTATTATTCAAAAGCTAAAAATAACAATATTTAAACAATTTATAAATAGTATGATGACCAATGTAACATTTTAAAAATATAATATTGCTAATACACTATTAATTTACAGAAAACTGTGCAATTTTCTAGGAAAGGTTTCAAGTATGATGTTTGAGGTCTAAGATACTTACATATATTGGAAATAATTCATCTATATTTCCTGAAAAGAGATCTTTTAGTTCTTATCAATACTTCTGATGCTATAATTCGTTTAGAGACTGGAGAGTAAAGTATGCAATTAATAATTTAATATTTTTAAAATGTCCCTTAACTGGATACAACAAATAATAACAATGCAACATCATAGCTATGCATTGCTTTGTTTTGAACAACAATTGCGATTGAACAACTCTACAAATATAAAGTATAACTGAATAGTACATATGAAAAATTGATATTTATTTTGTTCATATATAAAACAATTTAAACCAACTTTATTTTAGTTATAATAGGAAAGATTTGTTCAAGTGTTTTACACATTTACATGATTTGGATGTTAGTAGGTATAGCGTCTCCGTATACTTTTATATATTTACCCGTGTCTGTAGTGTAGCGGTCTAACGCGCTTATATTCATTTATAGTCAAGTTTATGATCCTTTTGATTGTCTGATTTATACATCAATGAAACAGAATATTCGCTGCCTTGAAAATGTAAATCCATTGCTTCGATACATGATATAATTTTTTGTATAAATAAAAATTTCCTTGGTTTATTCGGTCGTTTTTATTTTTTATTGTTTAGCACAGTACTACATATGTTTCGGAAAACTTTTCCATCTTCGGGTGCAGTCAAAGTTTATTAAAACATGGGGACGATTACCAACAATTTAAATTTTTTTAAAAATAACAGGAACCCCTTCTGTTTCAGCGTGTGAAGGGGTATTCGTAAACATTTTTTCGAAAAAAAAAAAGCTTTTCTCTAAACGTGGCTGTATATTGTGAAGTATGTGGTTCGTATCCTATAAGAGCCATTACATGTTTTTCAGTTTCAGAGGTCGTTAAAGTTGTGGATGAATCAGATTTTTGAACACCATGTTCTATTTGATAAGTTATTGTTCTGCAATTAAAAATGTTGTTATTTTACCATAACTTCATGACATAGTTTCAATATTTCTATTATCTACTTGATTAAAAAATTTCATACCTTTTGAAAATTGGGATAACCCGTAGGATACTTGCAGTTGGCGGTTCACTATCTGATTCATTAAACTACTTGTAGTAGCAGTAGTAGTAGTAGTAGTAGTAGTAGTAGTAGTAGTAGTAGTAGTAGTAGTAGTATTAGTAGTAGTAGTAGTAGTAGTAGTAGTAGTAGTAGTAGTAGTAGTAGTAGTAGTAGTAGTAGTAGTAGTAGTGCTGCATGCCCTGGATAGGATATAATCCACTAATATTTTTTTTGTTTCTAAATAGGTATTATAGTTCATTAATTTTTTTATTATTGTATTAAAAAAAATTGTGTATTTAAAATTTTGATGAATGAGTTTTATCTAATTTTATCCAGATTATATATTCGTATTGCATACATCTTAGATTAATTTTTCATTGTCATATTTTTTATAATAATTTAGTATAAACAATATATTATAAAATGGATCCCTATATTCGAGACTTTAACGTACAAAAAATATACAACTTTCAATTAAGTAGCTCTAGCGAGGTAAAACAGGTATTTGAAATAAATAAAAATAATCCAAATATAAAAATTATCCACAATAATATTCGAGGTATAGCAAAAAACCTAGATGAGTTTGAAATATTTTTAGAAGACCTAGACACATCTATTGATTGTATTGTATTTACAGAAACTAGAAGTATACCAAATGTCGAGATATATAATATTGAGGGTTATAAGACACTCCATAACAACGGCACTCGGAATCAAAATGATGGTGTATTGGTTTTCATAAAAACAGAACTATATCTAGATCATATAAATGTAAAGCTAGGCGATTCCTTTGTATTACGTATAAAATTAGAATATAACAAAAACATTGTCTATATAAACTCATTTTACAGATCCCCTTCAGATAGACATGTGGACATATTTTTAGAAGGTTTAAGAGATATATTAGAAAGTCACCCTAAACAATTTGCCTATAGTATTTTTATTGGTGATATAAATATTAACTTATTAGCTAAAAATATAGAGAACACCCAAAATTATTTAACCCTACTTGCTGAATATGGTTTCCTATCGGCTATAAATACTGTTACCAGACCAGATTCCGGATCTTGCGTAGACCACATTTTTATAGCATCAAATAAAAACAATTTCGATAATATAATGTCATCAACTGTAGAAACATTCATTACAGACCACTTTGTAATATTATTACAAATTATGTTTAATAATTGCAATGTTAAACCTAATATTAATGAAGATAAAAATTACTACAAACAAATTAATAACAAAAAATTATTAGAACATATACAACATATAAATTGGTGTGAATTGATAAATATTGAAAATCTTGATTTGTCAGTTGAGAAACTTGTAGACTATATCCAAGATGCTATTAAAAAATCTGAAATTAAAATTAAAATAAAAAAAAATGAACGAAAACGAAAGGCTTGGATAACTGGCTCATTGATTAAACTCATCAATAAAAAAAATGAAACTTTTAAAAAATATAAAAATGATCCACAAAATGCAAGTTTATATAGTGAGTACAATAACTATAAAAAAAATGTAAATATCCAAATTAAAGAAGCAAAAATCAACTATTATAAAAATATGATTGAGAAAAAAAAAAGAATGATTCTACACAACTTTGGTCCGTAATAAATAAATTAACAAAAAATAAAGAAAAACATATTATAACACGTATTAAATCAGAAAATGGAATTTTAATCACTAATCCAAATCGCATAGCAAATGAGTTTAATAACTTTTTTACAAATGTAGGGATAAATTTAGCAAAAAACATTAAAAAAACAAAAAATTATAAAGAAAAAAGCACGTTTCTAGCAATTCAATATGTTTTATTCCCACAACTATAACCGAGGTAAAACAAATAACAGGTTTAAAAAAGAAGAAAGCTCCAGGATCGGATAACATAACTGCAGAGACATTGCAACTCATTTCAGACTTTATAGCTGCCCCACTTACAAATATAATCAACACAAGCCTCTCTACAGGCACCTTTCCTCAACTTTTTAAGCAGTCTCTAATTATTCCCATATATAAAAATGGCGAAAAAAAAAATAACTAACTACAGACCGATAGCCCTGATTTCTTCAGCAGGGAAAATTCTAGAAAACGTGATAAAACATCGAATATGTGACTTCCTGAAAAAAAAAACAAATTGTTATCAAAAAGACAATATGGATTTAGGGAGGGAAGTTCAACGGAAGATGCAATAAGGGAACTAACTAATAAAATTTACTGTTCAATTGACAATAAAAAACCATCAATAGGAATCTTTTTAGACTTGGCTAAAGCTTTCGACACCGTCAATCATTGTCATTTATTAAATTCCCTTGAAGATATGGGTATAAGGGGTATAGCCAATAAATTAATGAAGTCTTACTTAACAAACAGAAAACAGAAAACCAAAATACAAAATATTACCAGCATCGATCAAATAGTCTCATGTGGTGTACCTCAGGGAACAGTATTAGGGCCTCTACTCTTTATAGTCTACCTGAACAATCTCTTTTTAGTGGAAAGTAAAGCAAATATTATTAGCTTTGCAGATGACACAGTAATGCATTACGAAGCTACTGACTGGAATAACTTGAAAACATTGGTAGAGAAGGATTTCCCCAAAATAAAAACATGGTTTGACTACCGATTACTATCTATAAATTTTAAAAAAACAGTATACCTACCTTTTTGCAGTCTAGCCTCTGGTCTTCCTCAATTTCAAAATATCGCTATCGAGAACGACACATATATACTACCTGAAAATAAAACTAAATATTTAGGGATAATAGTAGATAGCCACTTGCGCTGGGACAAACATACTCAATACTTACTAAACAAATTACGTAGTGTCTTATTTAAATTCATACAAATATCACCAATGCTAGAATTACCACAGAAGAGAATTTTGTATCATAGCCTTTTCGAATCTCATCTCAACTATGGAATAATTGGTTGGGGTGGAGTCACTAAAACGCACTTAAAGCCAATCGAGATCATTCAAAAAAGTTTTTTAAAAATAATGCTAAACAAAAATAGAAGATATCCTACTGAAAATGTGTATCAAGAAACCCAGATATTTGACTTACGACAGTTATTCTGTCAAGCAGCACTCACCCATCAATTTCAAAATCAAGATGATCTGCAAACACCGTTGCATCAATATGATACAAGAAATAGAGACAATTATTTGCTACCACGAACGAATAAATCAATTGGACAAAATAGCTATCGGTTTTTGGGACCAAAAATCTTTAATAACATTCCAACGGAGCTTCGAGAAATAAAAACAGTAAAAAAATTTAAAAGATGTGTAAAAGAATTTATAACAAAAACACCGCGAACTTTTTTCCGTAATATAATCGAATAAAAAAAAATAGAAATTAAATAATTAGAAAGTATATTATAAACCTTAAAGAATCTGAATATTTTAAAAATGTTCTTTGTCTATGTAGAAGTTATGTTTGTTGTATGAGATACTTATGCCGAGGTATATTGGAAATAAATTTTACTTATTATCAAAGTGTAAAGATTGTACTTATATAACTTTTATTTATATTAATAATTTGTATTTTAATTGCTTCATATTTTTAAATTTTTACTATTGTATTGTTATAAGTTTTATTTATTTTATTTTGTCGTATTTTTTGTCACACACAATCTGTCATTGTACTTTGTACAGTGAGCAGATTCAGTGACACATTTCTTGTTTATTTACATTTTATTTCCTATTGGATTTTATTTTATTGTATCTGAATGTATATATTGCTGGTAAATAAACATTATTATTATTATTATATTATTATAATCCGATTAAAATTTTAACTACCCATAACAGACAATTATTAAAAAAAATATATAGGTATACCTGCAGAGCTATTCTACTAATTTTATAGTCAGCTATAAGATATTTTTTAGTAATTTAAATTATATATTTAATGTTATACCTTGCGAGATGGAATAAATCGTCTATACCAACTTCTTTAAAAACTGATGGAGAGCTACATAAGCAATACCTATTTAATGATATGCAATCACATACTTTGAGGGTGCAGAAGAAGATATATTTACATTATGATTACCTTGAGGTGTTAGGAAGATTAACTTGTTTTGAACTAGCATTATTTTTCAAATATTTCAGGCCATTCGATGTAAATAAGAAATTGCTATCCTCAAAATGGCTAGAGCACCCATTCCAAATTGATTCCCAAAATACCAAACCAAGCTTTTTTCTCTTAAAATTTGCAGGAAACCTAAAACAGATACGCCAATGATTAAAAAATATAACCCATAATTTACTTCAATTTAAACTTACTTGTAGAACAATAAATTTGGATTTAGATAATACAATTTTTTGCATACTTCACATTTTCTAACTATATTTGCAGAATAAAATGTTTAATATTGTCCAAAAAGTATAAGAAACAATAAACGCGATTTGACAACTGATGCTACTTAACCTTGTACAAAAACGATAGTAAAGCGTTATAAGTCATGAACAATTTATGAATGGGATGCAGCTAAGCGCGGTTGCCACGTTTAGGCCGATTTTTTATTATCACTGTACTTATTTTTTATATAATTGATTAACAAAAATTATATTTGGTTTGTAGTATTTTAAAAGTTGCTTCAACCCGATCTTACACGTACTTAATAATTCAGTTAATATTAACAATATTTAACAGGAATATTAGAGGTTTCTTATTTGCTGAAAACTATTAGAAAGTAATTTAGATAGACTTGGCAATGTGGTAAATCAACTGTAATCTTATCCACCACATTAGCTTAGAATGTGACTGATTGTTGTCGATCACGGTGATTACATCTTCTGGTTTCTATATCTATGAGTATCACGTTACAAAAATGGCGCCCAACGTGGGGATAAATATATACTTACCTAAGTAAGAGCCTGGAGCCGCTCCTGCATTCACTACATTGTAATCATAATAATCCAATTCCAAATCATTGTCTTGAGCAGCTAGTGAGAAATCTGATCCAGTGGGTCCGGCTAGAAGTTTTTCACGATTTTTCTTTTCTTTGGTCTCTTTAATAGACGTACTTTTTATTGTTGCTTTGTTTATCATTGTATTTCCAGACGAATAGCAACCCTGTAAATAACAAATATATTATATTATATCCATTAGTGTGAAAAATCTAATATATTTGGTACTATTATAAAGATATAAAAACAAAGTTATTTTAATTTTTAAATAGGGCTAGGCCAAATTATTTTTTTAAATTAAATTTCCATTACTTTTCCCATTATAAAAAGCTAAGTATTATGATATATAGATGGTATTTCACAAAACGTAGCAAGTTTGAATATCCAATTAATTTTATTGATCTACATAACCAAAAATATATAATTAAAAATCAATTTTCTTTATTTATTACCGACATACTACTACATTATTTTTTTAATTTTTTTTTACCAGACTGCTCTAATATAGTTACTAATTTTTGGAAAATAATAAGTGTATTTTGAATTTGAAGATATTTTTATTATTATATTACTTCTGTTTTGCTTGATTACCAAATGTAGAAACATTTGAAATAAGAAGAAAAAGAAGATTTTCTAACTTAACCAAAAACTTCACTTGTCCTTTGTCTTTATATTGTCATACTAAAACTACATGTATTAGTAAAGTATTTTTAACATCTTTCTTCAGTTTTTACCCTATCCTCAACAACTTTAACAACACCACATAATTAAAATTTCGTAATTTTTACGACTCTATCATGCTTTTTTTCTGCAAAAATTATGTTTTTTATTTTCATAATTTTTCAGTAGCAATTTATTATTGAGGCCCTCTCTATGGGACCTCAGCATTGCATTCGTGCAGACGAAAAAATTTTCTTACCCCTATTTTTAAAACTTTTCCGAAAATGCAAAAAACAATTTTTTGTCTAGTCGTCTGTGTGTATGTATGCCTGCACGATAACTCTAGAATGAAAATTCTGATTGACTTACGGTTTTGATTTTCTGAAATAATTATTTCTAACTTAGAACTTTAACTTAACCATCTGTCTATGCATTTCTTATGTGACTAATTTTACGAATTCCAATCATTCCTAACGTCTAATATTCTTAACATTCCTTACATCGCAAACATTCTCCAACGACTTGTCAAACAACAGCTATTGATTGTAAAGGTGAGATTTCTAAGGCGGGTTGCGACCTTCAAGTATACTCATTCTCTTGTATGCTCATCTACTATATTTAATGTATCAGTATCCTTAGTTTTTTTTTATGTTGCAGGCTGGATTTAAAGTCACACTATATCTCTTGCTCGTGCTATACACAAAAATTGTATACAGCGCATTTGTACCGAAATATTATCGTTTTATAGGTCTACATGGTTGCCATATCCTAACTTGTCAAAACCCACTGGTAGCCATTTTGTTTGGAATGCCTAATTGTGAAGGTTCAACTTAATCATAATACTAACGCAAATAAGGGAGTATAAATCGACCCTATCATTTGTTTCCATATTTTATAACAAAGATTGTATTAAATAAAATACTGAAATTTAGTGCTAATTAAATAATAAAGTGTATTTTTGCAGTGTTCTTTAACAGGTGTAATAATAGTGTCTATCTTTTGCCAACATCTATGTGGAATTTGATATTATAATAGATGATTTCAACGGAAGACATCTTGAAGTTGCAAGGTCATTGGAAGATCTTTGCGCCATCTATAAGTTTGCATAACAATTAATAAAATAAAAAAGAAAACTAAAATTATTATTTTGGCAATCTGTTTAAGGTTACGGCGTCGGTATTCATTTTTTTCCATCTCTATCTACTTAGTGCCAGGTCCCAGAGTCTTATTTTTCTTAGTCATGTGTCATGCCAAAATTTGTAAGAACATAAAACGACCTAACGCGCGCTTAGCAAGCCATGTAGATCTAGATTCCAGATCTTGGCGATAGTGAGAGTGAAAACTAAAGAAGAAGGCAAGAAAAAAATAAGAAATTTATACTTAACGCCGCTGTAACTTTAGACACATTGCCAAAATAATAATTTACAGTTTTCTTTTTTATTTTATTAGTTGTTATGTAAACTTATAGATGGCGCAAAGATCTTCCAATGACCTTGCAACTTCAAGATGTCTTCGGTTGAAATAATTTATTATTTGAAATTTGGAAATAATATTTGATAATCTTTGATTAAAAAATATTTATTAATATTCGATAATATTGGATAATATTTGATAATATTTGATAATATTTGATAATATTTAATAATATTTAATAATATTTAATAATATTTAATAATATTTGATAATATTTGAAAATATTTGATAATAATTGATAATATTTGATAATATTTGATAATATTTGATAATATTTGATAATATTTGATAATATTTGATAATATTTGATAATATTTGATAATATTTGATAATATTTGATAATATTTGATAATATTTGATAATATTTGATAATATTTGATAATGTTTGATAATATTTGATAATATTTGATATTTAATATTTGATAATATTTGATAAAATAATATTAATAATATTATCAAAACATCAATAAAAAATGATGAAGTTTTCTTTTATATTGCTTTTATATTTATTAGAAAAATCGTGCAATATGCAATAGTGCAATGATGAAGCACACAAAACACTGTGCTGGTGCCGGTGTCGAATCGAAATACTTTAATTAAAAAAATACTTCACCGGATCACTAGTGGAGTGAATTTTTGTTAACAAGCTCACATTAGTAAGTGCGGAGTTACTAATATTACTAGGTCTTCTCGTTAAAACTGTTCTCACATCAATTTGTTTACACATTGCGTCTTTTTCGTCCGATTTGTCCTTATCGCTTTCGTCTGTAGAAGATCTCTTTAAATTCGAAATTGATTCAGACGAGTTTGGTGTATGTTCATTTTCCTCTGATTTATCAGGCGAATCTGATTTAGTTAACGCTTCGTCTTGGGTTAGGGTGGTAGTACTGCAAATGCTGAGCGATTCTTCTTTACTGAAAAAAAAAAAAAATGTAAATCTTATGGACTCAAATTCAAGAGTTTTTAATAAAGTTCGAGCTAGAGGCAAAAATTATATCAGTGTGTAAAATAAGATAATTTTTTTCCACCAAATATGAAAAAAAAATTATTTAACGGTGTTTTTTTAAGTAAATTGTTCTCAAACCATATTCTATAGAGTTGTTCAGAAAAAAAGTTTAAAATAGGCCATGAAAAAATTCAAGCATTTCGAAGCAGTTTGGTTTTAATAATTAAGACCTACGAGTAGTTATCACAGACATGATTCGTATGTATATTTAAAAAAAAAATTGTGAATTACTTACTCTTTACTTTAGTCTTTAGCTAAGCCAAATGAACAATTTAAATTTTCTCTCATCAATTATTAAATAATTAGTACTCACGCCAATGTGGCTCCCTCGTTAGCTTTAAGAGTGTCACAGTCGACGGACTCCCTTAATCGAACATGTTTATTCCTCGACTTCAAATGCGGTCGAAATTTAGTAAAAGAAATTACTTCCGATAAGAGCGTGGCATTTGAAGTGGCTCTGGTGGCTAAAGGTACACCAACACCTAAAAAATGAAAAGTATTTTTTGACAGCGGTTCCTGAAAACAACTAACTTCTTGGTTACATTTGGACCACAGCTGAGACCTACGTCCACATACTTTGATTTTCTTTTACTATACGGAGAATGGTCGCACTGCGCAGCTTTCTGAGTGCCTTTTAAAATGAGATAGAAAACTCCGCCATTTTGAACCCTTATTACGTATTGCCTACATCTTGGCGCAATATTTTTAATAGGTGCGTTTTAATCATCCGCTTCTGCTTCGGAATTGTCGGTTTTCTTGTTTTAATCTGACAGGTTAAAACGACTGAACCGACAATTCCGGAAGCAGAAGCGGATGATTAAAACGCACCTGATATTTTGCTTGCTGCTGTCAGTGTCAGTGAATATTATTTTTGGAGTCACAGTTTACTGCTAAAGAATCAGTTAGCTCATTCGGACCAGTTGAAAATTCCAAAATAACATCCACTCCAGGGATACAAATTCAGGATACGCAGAAGACTGCTGTTTTATTGTAGGCGGTTGTCATAATTGTATTATCCGAGTTGCGCAGTGTATAAACTGGAAAATTGAGATCAAAAGTGCCGACGCAGAGTAAGCGATCTGATTCTTTAGCTATAAACTGTGGCATAGGAATCAAAATGGCCGCGCCCTATGTTGGGCGTGTCGGACCTCTCTCTTGCATCGTATAGTAAAGAAAATCGAAGTATGTGCCTACGTCACTTTTGTGACAGATTGACATTCGACTTAATAGTAAGCGTAAAAATATAGCGGTTAGTGAATTGACATTTATGTCACAATTTTCAGGTAACCGCGTTTCTAATTTAACCGATTTTTCAGGAATGTCAAGCAGAGCGGTTAGTTTTGGACCGAGTAACCGATATTTCGGTTAATAACGGACCATTCCCTAGGAATTTTTCTTGCACGATTGTCATCTGTCATTTAATGTCTAATAAAAGTATTCCCATTTTAACTGTAATTTGATAATCTTCACTCCTATAACCCGAAAACACTCACGTGCAGATTGCACTTTATCACGGTGGATGATAAGTTATTATAGGGGTTTTAACTGCGATTAAATCCCATATAAAAACAGAAAGAAACATGTCCTTGACATGAGCATAGTTCTAAAAAATTCGCCAGAGGTGGTTAGTTTATTGAAACAGGAATCATTACTGGGCATTGCTGACTCAAAAGACACCTTAATAAACTGAAAGTAGTAGTTAGTGAGTGCAGATTCTGTGAGGAGGAGGAGTACAAAACCTGCATTTATATTTTTATTGAATGTGTAGCACTTCAGAATCTAAGGGCACCACATCTAGGAACATACCAAATAGAAGAGGGAGATTAACCTAAATTGAAGCACCTCAAAATCCTACACTTCCTTGAGAAGATAAGATGAGAAGGGTCGTTATAGTCATTGACACATGTCCTTGCTGCATTAGCGATAGAAGGGGGCACAATAGATCTGTTAGATCGCAGTTTATTAACACCCTATTTCCAACGTAACATAACATAACATAACATAGTTTATGGAGGACCCTTTGACCATTAAACAGATAGACTTGTTTCAACAACCATATGTATCCTACTTCAAAATAGCCATAAGCTGATTGGTCAATAGTTTGACAGATGCTTGGTCTATTTGTTTAATTGTCGAGGACTGGAATTGATAAAACGTTTAGATTGTGAATTACTCTTATTCGAATTCGAATTAGGTCCATTTTAGGGAAATCACGTATAGGGATAAAATAATAGAGAATGACATCATAAGCAACTTTTATCATGATTCCTATACTTTCCTTATCTGTACACAGAAAGAAAAGCAAAAAATGGCCGTGACCGTATTTTTTTAGGCAACCCATTTGCGGTATATTTAAAAACATATTTTATCTAAAAACAAAACTTTTATCAATTAAACAGATGGGTGAAGGTCGACCTTACTTACGGATCCTGGACTATAAGTGCTTACACAATTTAACGACACATAGAAGGTACTTACAAAAGTTTTAAATTATTTTTATAAATTGGTACATACCTGAATAATTTGAGACGGAATCATGATCATCACCTTCAGCAATTTGATATTTACGATACCGAAATACGTACTGAAGTCCCAACACAATAGTGGCTAATAGAAGACCAACAAGAAAGAAGATGGCGGCTATATGGACAGCGGAAAGTTTTAAAATAACCACTGGAATTATTCCAACGTTTTGGGCTACCGGTACTGCAGTAATATTATTTATTCCTGCTGTTACTAAAACAAATTATAAAAAATTAGCATCTGCGTCTTTGTTTTTATCGTAGTTGCTGTTATTTCTTATTGTAACTTCTGATATTGAAGACCTTGTAACTTTCAACTATTTTTGGTAATCTATCTTTGAAAGAAAAAAAAATAGTTGGAACTGCCTTCTCTTTTAAAGTGAAAAAGTTTAAAAGGTTTTGCAATTTATTGTTACAGCTGCCTGTTTCTTATAAAAATCGAATAAGCTTATTTTTTACATACAGTACATGAAATAACTAAAATTTGGGCTTCGGTTACGACATGGGGATTTCGTCCTCCCACGCATGATTATGGTGAAAAATTTGAATAGCATTCATACAAAAATTTGTAACTCAAACTGCGAATTTAATGTAATATTCTGAAGATGCCACTGACAGTAATTCAAACGTTGTGGAAAATTCCTCGAATGTAATGCATTTTAAAAATATTGTAATAAATATCCACCAATGTTTTTGTACTCGCTTCAGGATATTCGTCGATTTTTTGCAGCACCGCTCAAAAAATTCTACTTACTCATTTGGTTGGCCTGGGCTATAAATCCGCCGCCGCAAATGTGGGTCGTGTCATCGGTGTCCGTGGAAAAGAATTCGAGCAGCAAATTCGCCCCAGTAGAATTCACGGACAATGAAACGGTGTCAGATGCACTGGATAAATGAGCCAGTAAATTAGACGACAAGGCATTTCCGTCGCGAATTTTCAGCGACTGAGTTCGGCACACGAGACGGAATTGCAGCACACGAAATTGGATCACGGAGTCTGGATCTGCCTGGAAATATAATAAAGTAGATTTTTGAAGCTCTGCAGCAGAAATATTAATAAACTTTAATGGTCCGGAAAATATATCGTTCTAATGCGGTTCGTTTGCATGTCAGATGTAAAACGGCTCTATTTAAATCTAAATAGTGATTGTGTAGAGAACACTTAGAAAATAGCCTAACCTAAACTGTTGTACTGAAAGTTAATGGGGTGTATTCAAAAATGTGGGTCAACACAGTTCAACACAGAGTTAGATTAAAAACTTTTATTAAGATTTCAAAATATATGACTTAGCGGAAAACGGAAACTATAGTGAATGCGATGGTTTGGCTAAAATAATGTAATTATAGGTATCGGTATTGAGTCTGTATTTAACACTGAATGTAGAAGTATCAAAATATATTTGTCAGCAGAAGTGTGTTTCATTATAGTTAATTATATTAAAGATACATAAATAACAATACAAAGTAGATACACAATATAGTAATAAACATTCGTTTGTATTAAGCTTCTTACTTAAAAAAAATATAAAATCATTTTAAACAAAGTTCTTTTACATACAAAATATTATTTACGAAAAATAATGGTGAGCAAATTGTTTTAGATTAAAAAAACTGAAAAATGCAAGCACTATTGTTTATTGGATAAAATAAAGAGTGAAAAATAACTATAATTATTTATAAACCAAGGGTATACACAAATAGAAAATAAAAATATTTGTCCACGACTGTTCTATAAAACATTCATAATACTTGTACTTCCTTAGGAATAATAATACCTATTAGTCAGTAGTGAATAATGATCCATTAGTCACGGTATAACGTCACGACAGCACGTATGTCTAAACTGATATGAAAATATTCTTTATAGGTAATCGAAAAATCGAAAAAAAATCGAAAAAAAAAAAAGAAAACGAAAAAAAAAATCGAAAATTCGAAAAAAAAATGGTAGCCATTATTCACTTGGGTGACATGCGCCCCTCGCCTACGGCTCGAGACGCAAACGTCACCCTGCGTGAATAATGGCTACCATAAATTGCTCGTTTAATAATATACTATTATTTGAACATTACAACATTTTCTAAAGTATTAATCAACATTTATCTTATTTTTGGTAAATAATGATAACAAAATCTTGGTCATTTTTAAAAGTAATATATTTAGTTTTAAAACTTAGGCGAAATACGAGGGCTGTCCAGAAAGTGACAGACGTTTTGCGCTGTCATATATTGTATTATCTGAGTTGCACAGTGTATAAACTGGAATATTGAGATCAAATGTGCCGACGCAGAGTGAGCGATCTGATTCTTTAGTTATAAACTGTGTCATAGGAATCAAAATGGCCGCGCCCTATGTTGGGCGTGTCGGACCTCTCTCTTGCCCCGTATAGTAACCAAAGTATGTGTATATACTACTTTGATTTTCTTTTACTATACGGAGAATGGTCGCACTGCGCAGTTTTCTGAGTGCCTTTTAAAAGGAGATAGAAAACTCCGCCATTTTGATCCCTTATTACGTGTTGCCTACATCTTGGCGCAATATTTTTAATAGGTGCGTTTTAATCATCCGTTTCTGCTTCGGAATTGTCGGTTTTCTTGTTTTAATCTGACAGGTTAAAACGACTAAACCGACAATTCCGGAAGCAGAAGCGGATGAAAGTTCCAAAATAACATCCACTTCAGGGATACAAATTCAGGATACGCAGAAGACTGCTGTTTTATTATAGGCGGTTGTCATATATTATATTATCTGAGTTGCGCAGTGTATAAACTGTAACATGGATATCAAAAGTGCCGACGCAGAGTGAGCGATCTGATTCTTTAGCTATAAACTGTGGCATAGGAATCAAAATGGCCGCGCCCTATGTTGGGCGTGTCGGACCTCTCTCTTGCACAGTATAGTAATCAAAGTATGTGGGATGGTATCAAGCTTGACAAAATCAAAGTAAGATATTCAGCGAAGCTTGAGTCGTGCTCAAGTATTGAGGAAGACTCAAGTTCGGTTCATAAATACAAGCATAAGGGTTTACCTTCAAAATGTATAATATAAAAATTGTTTTTTCACACTGTTTATGTGTTATTTTAAAACGCCTGTTACTTTCTGGAGAGCCCTCTATTATCCCACGATCAAATTTGTATAGTTTTTTCACATTGTTTATGTCAGAGATAAGGGTTTATGTGTTATTTTAGAACGTCTGTTACTTTCTGGAGAGCCCTCTATTATGCAACGATAAAATTTGTATAGTTATTATCTGTAAACCTATAATAGTTATACAAATTAAAAATATGAAAATACTTAAATACGCAATTTAGATATTTTGCATTTTAAATAATTCAACATACTATTTAAAACTTACTTGAATAAGCCAAAAGTTTCTTCCAGGACAGCTTTGCGAAGACGACGCTAGCAGTCTCGTTGGTTTAGCCATTCCTAAATGGACGACACATCCGCATCTGCAGTAAGATCCAACCTCTTCTTGTACTTCTGGCATTTCAGCTATAATGTCTTTAATCATACCTATTCCCTCGCCATAAAAACAGTTCCAGCTGCTTGTGAATTGGTTTCCACATTTTTCGGTTTCTATTGCTGAACCCTATGTTAAAAAAAACATGCCTAATAGTGAACTATACAGGATGACATATATTTAAAATGATTTATTTAATTTATTTGTTACTAATGCGCTGACTAAATATAAAAACAACACAATGCAAAAATCTTGGTACTCCAAATTGCAACTCTTTTTATCTCAACCAAGTGATTTAATGATTTTTACAACCAATAATTTTTTAGAACAAGAATAAACTTGAATAGTGATAATTTGACCAAGCTGTTAGATTATTACTGATTTGTTTCTACGCGTTGGAAATCCATCAGTTGGTTTGTTCTACTATATACAGTTCATCAAATTTCTAGAGGCTTTCGACGGCTAGACAGAGAAAGCACTACTGACAGGCATCCCGACGGATTTACGCAATGAAAGTACACTCTGCGCATCAAGTATTTCACTATTTCATTCAGACGTAAATGTCAGATGTAAATTTCGCTAAAACATTTCTTTTATTTTCGTTTGTGTTTTTTGCTCATTACAGTTTAATATAACCTAAGTATGGAGTTTAATAGCAAATTAAGAGGCCGCGTGATTAACAGTCAATCTCGCGAAATAATAGCCAATGTTATAGAGTTTATGAGAAGAGAAGGAAACTTTAATTCACCTTCAATACCATTTAAAAATGTAAATGATCGTGTTGCTGCAGCCACAGGAGTATCTAAAAACACTGTCGTCCGCATTTCTGGAGAGAAAAAAAGAATCGATAACCGTGAGATATCGGAATTTTCATCACCAAGAAAAACCATTAAAAAACCAAAAACAGTTAATGATATAGATGAAGCTGCACAAGAATCAAATTTTATTTTTTTATTATTAGATAGCTATTTTTGTTTCTAAGTTGTGTTCATTTACAGGCTCAATTTTTTTCCGTTTCTCCTTTTTGATTTTATATGGGGTTTCAAGTTGTTTTTGACTTATTTCGACGTAAATCACAACACACTTTTTTAATAAAGCAAACAAGTGTTAAGAGGTATATGTACGTGTAAACTACAATTACAAAAAATTGATATGAAACCCATGAAACCACCAACAAAAATGTAAAGCTAGCTTCCGTACTAGAACATGGTGTCATTCGTCGAGATAATTTATCGTTTTGTTTAATAGATCAAGAAATGTAAATATTCCCCTGTTATTTTTTATAAAATTATAAGAGAAATAAATTTTTTTCTAAATAGTATAGTTTATTATTTTGTAGAAAAACAAAATTTCGAAAATTTTAGTAATGTTTCAGAAACAACCGTTATTAATAATAGGTACCATTTTCCTTAATAAGGTAGAAATAAAATATAAACTATTTCCACGATTTACAAAGGCCTACAAAAAAATTATAGATATTTTCCGCTATCCTATAAAATTTATATTTTCTGACTCAATTTCAAAAGGTTGAAGGAATTCCAAAACACCTTTTATGGCATAATAATTATTTTCAATTCTACATACTATCTTTAGCTGCTTTTAAAAACGTTCTAAGAAAGTCCAATCAGACCAATTTAATCCCTAAACTATTCCACACTTTTAAAATTTAATTACCTAAATAGCTATCTTAGTCACACGTAGCGCGTTCTCTGTCTGGGCGTCGAACACCTCTAGAAATTTGATGAACTGTAATATGCTAAACATGGGGATTAATATTTATTTTGTTTCTTTTTTCTTTATAATATAAAATTTCCCGCAGAACAAACTTTGAACGAACCTTATGTATTAAGAAAAAGTTAAAAGTTATTTACATTATCATTTTGTCCCAAATATTGATCTGTCAATTCTTTTGCATTAAGATTCTGACCCACAAACTAAGAGAATATAAAAAGGTTGATGTTTTTATTGATTACAATTAGAAAAGTTTTATTTTATTTATTAATTTATTTAACGTCGGCCCATTTATAACTACAACAGAAATTTAGTAGATTCCTTCGGTATTCCAACCAGAGATATGAATCTTTAATGAGCCCAACATCCATGGACTTGGGATCAACTGCTTCACATCTACTATAAAACATAGCAGACTTTACGCTCCTACGCTATACTTCGTATTCATTGATATAACGCGTGCCAACTGTGGTATGCAACTACGCGAGCTTTATAGGTACGCCGACTCTTCTTGGGATAGTCACCATCCAAGGACTAACTGCGCGTGGAGTTGCTTAAATGCAAATATCGATACACAATAGCGAAACTGCTAAATGGGGCCGTTGTCCAACTATGAAAGTTACTATCTAGTAGCAAAGTAACCCAAAAAAAATCCTACGTAAAACAATTTTTATTCAATATGATAACTGGTTTCGGCGTTAGGCCATCATCAGGTCTAATAAATATAGTACAATGGTTATTACATACTAAGACGTCTCCAAACACATAAAACAAAGTGGTTAAGTGGCTGCTACTGGTAAACCCTTAAGAGGCAGGCAGTAACTAAGTGAAAGATGTAGTTAAAAGAGGACAAGACCTTATTTATATCCAGGTTAAGTAAAAAATTTATTGATAATAGCAAAAATAAAATAAAAATATACAAGATAGATTTTATAGCTAACAAATGTTGGGTGATCTATGGGGAATCCGATTCTAGGAACTCAGTTCTCCCAAAAGAGAAGTTAGCAGATGTTAGAGGTCCATTGCTCGAACCACAATATGACCAATGTATTAGTGAGCTAAACCAAAAGATAAATACGACTCAGCCACTACCAGTGGCGACCGAACAACCTTAGTTATAAGAAATCAGATAATAAATATAGGTTATTTAGAACTACCTCGGTAGATCAAGCTGTGGTTGTCCAAAAAGTGCCTGTTTCACCCTATATAACAATCATTTATTAAATCTTGTGATAAAATTTAGTATCTTCCTCTTACGATAATAAATAGTTATTTATTTATTAACTAAAAGCTCCTTTTCAAAACGCAAGTTTAATGCACAATATTATTTTTTATCTCTCATTAGGGATATTACAAATTTAAACAATAAAAATATTTTGACATTTGTTTGTAAAACCTAACCCAAAATAGTTATTTTGGTTCGACTTTTGTATTTGTATTTTAAATGGTCCAAACGTACATAAAAAGTAACTTAATAAAAGAAAATTTGTTGTTTATTCTTGACTACAATTTAACACAAAAACAACTGCATTTATCGCTTCTTAATTACGGACTTGCTTCTGATTCTTCTCCCTCCGTATATTCCTCTTCGACTTCTTCGCCTTCTTGCGTTTCGCTAGCTCTTCCTTCTTCGAATTCTCCTTTAGTTTGTTTGGTCGGTAATTCTTCTTCTTCTTCCACCACCAGAACGCCTTCTTCTGATTCTTCGTCGACGACTTCCTGTTCATCGAAGAATAGAAGACTTTTACGCGGTTCCTCTTCAGCCAGTTCTCCTTCTCCTTCCAGTTCGGAAACTAAATATTCCGAACTTTCATCGTCTTCGGTGTAGAGCATTTGTTCTTTTGCGATTTCGCCTGTCGCTACGTATTCTTCGAAGCTCAAGCCCGTCTGGGTGTCCATGTGTCTTCTTACTGGTGGAGAGGAGCGCAGCTCTACTGGTTTTGGAACGAAACCAAGATCGCCTTTGGCGTAAGTAGCTTCGAATAGCGAAACACTGTCTAATGAAGGTACTTTCATTTTCTTTTCTTTGGCTTTGTTTAGCAACAAGAGGAGGTAGTTTAATAAGTTTTCGCGTTTGCCGATTTTAAGAGCCATTTCGCTTTGCGTTCTAACCGTTAGGGACTCTTTAATAGCACTAACAGCTTCCAACATTAACTCTAGTAAACGATTGTTTTCTTGTTCCAGATAGAGGAACTCGGTTTTTATTAGAGTTCGATCACATCTAACGTGATGCAGATTCTGTTCCAATATCCTCTTAGTAAACTCGGAATGCTTTATTTTATCGTTAAGTTCTTGAATTTTATTTCTGCTTGCTATTACTTCATTTTCGAAAAATTTGTACTTATTCAATTGGTTTACCATGTACTGGTGGTCGTCTGTTAAACGCTCGATCAGCTTTATCTGAACTCGTACCTTAGCTAGCGCGATCTTATTTTCTTTGAGCAACAGTTCGTTGTGGTTTCTTAACATTCCATCTCTAGTTTTGAGATTCGTGTTTTCACCATACAGTCGCTGTTGATTATTCAACAAAACGTCCAATTCATTATTAACAGCAATATTTTCTCTAATTACTCGATGAGTCGTAGCTGCTATCCTCAATTCTGTGGCATCGTGGAATTCCGTAGAGAGTTGAAGTAACTTAGAGCTCATATCCTTTTTCAATTGATCTTTACTTAGAATGAATTTTCGTTCGATTTCACACATTTCTCTTTTGTGCCTCTTTTCTTGTTCCTCTATTGCGACCTCTTGAATTTCGTACTTTCTCATGAGTTCGTCTCGCTGGGATCGAAATTCTTCGAGGGAATTTAATTTTCCTTAAAAACAAAGAAACTTAGTTAATTCGAATTAATGTCGAGGGACGCAATTTACGGAATGACCAATAGTCCAATCATACGGAGACGCATAGCATGAGGAAGATCTTTTTAGAGGTTTACATAATGTTTTCGAGAGCATTGAATATGAATCTAAACGTTATCATTTTTATTTTTTCGGGAAGAAAGTTTTAGGCAAAAAACAGCTACAAAAATGATTTTGTTTTGTTTTTTAATAATAATTTAATTGATAGTTTAGTAACAAAAGCGATATTATTATTTTATTTGTTATTTGTGATATTTTGGATTAACAAAATCAAATAAACTAAATAAATTACTAAAACTTATATCTCTGTTAATATTGGTTCGATTGAAATGGGAAAAATAGGGTAGTTTGGGGAATTACATGTAGATTAACGCTGAAACCAAAAATCGTGCACAATGACAGGCCAATAGGGCCTAAAACTTATATCTCGGCTATTATTGGTCTGATTCGAATGAGAAACAGAGGAGTGGAGGAAATGCCATACTCATGCGCAGTAGCCTAGTCAAAAGAACTTTTTTTAAAAGTAAATAGGTACTTCAATATTTTTTCTCAGTATCGGGAAGTCTAGCAAACAGAATAGACGTAGAAATAAAGAGTTTGTAAAAAAGTTCAAAAACTAAGAAGAGATATAAGGTTTTACGAAGACAAAAAGAAAGTGTTAAAAGATCTAATAAATTTAAGTCTTTGGGGTCACCCTCATTAGTATCCAATAACTGATGCAAATAAAAACATCTTAAAGGATAAACAGTATCACTGGAAGGAACATGCTCATTTATACAGATAGCAGACCCTGAATAGACCACAAATTTACTCAGTGTTAGTACTAGAATGCCACAAAGCTTTGGCCAAAGTGTCCAATAATAATGTGGTTACCTTAAGATGGATCAAAGGCTACACTACATCTTGCTGATTCACTGGCCAAGAAGACAGCCAACCAAATACTTTTTGGACCTGTCCTTTCTATTGGCCTGACAAAATGGGTAGTGACAGACCTAATTCAAGAACATTCTCTTTTGTTATTTTAGAAAAGATGGATGAATTAAGTAACTGCAGGGTTGCCAGGAATATTTTACACACACTATATCAAACATATACTTGACTAGACAGAATGTGCGCTTGGTCACAGGCATTATGAGATGAGACCATCGAGCATATTGTATACGACACCGGTGCTCTCATTTATTAGAAGATTTAGGTTTGTCGAGTATCGGCTAACACCGACTGATATAAGAAAAGCACCTTTTGGCGACGTTGTCAGGAGGTAACTATCTTAGGAGTATGCACAATGGGCCTAGTGAAGCCTAAGTGCCGTGATACGTTACAGATACATAAGTAGGCCCGTTAAGTCTAATATAATCGATCCAAAGGCTAGAATTGATGGCATCTACAATGGTAATAAAATTGGGAAGTTCATTTAAAGAAATCAGAAAAGCAATAGTCTTGCTAACGATTATATATAACAGCATGCTAAGACTGTGCCATTTACCAATTCAATGGAAATACGCACAAATCATCATGAATGTCAAACCAGGAAAACTCCCCACAGAACCCACTTCCTACCGCCCGATAGGCTTTCTACCAAAAATGTCAAAAATCTTCGAAAGACTTCTTCTAGACCGAATCTTTAAAACAGTAGATATAAATCGCATCATACCTGATCATCAATTTGCAGCAGTGTCATCGGATTGTTAATTATATCAAAGGAACTTTAGAAGAAAAGAAAATGTGTGTATCAATATTCATCGATGTAGAAAAAGCTTTTGACAAGGTGTGGCACACAGGCCTGTTAATCAAAAGTGAAAAAGCATTTGTCTACATTTGTCTACATACCTAATATTAAAATCATACTACAAACCTTTCAATCAAAGATAGTAAATGCTCCATGGTACGTTACCAATGCAACAATCCACAATGACTCTACATGCAAACAAAGCCAAAGAAAGAAACTTCGCTCACGATAGGCAAACTATAAATTCACTTTACCAGCTGCCGCTATTAAGAAGAAGGCTCAGAAGGACATCGCCAGAAGGCCTAACTGACTAGGTGTATTGGAGAATCATCACTGGATGGTGCCCAAAACAAGCCACAAATCAAACTATTTGCTAAATACTCTTTGTTTTGTAATTAGAGTAGATTGTAAATTTGCACTAAATAAAAAAAAATTAAAGAAAAATGAAGAGTTAAAAATTTCAAATGTTTTCTACTAGTGTGACTCAATGATTTAAGATCTTTGTTGCTTACCGTGGTACAATTAACCGTTCTTGGCAAGATAGCAACAAAAGAAGTGTATTAAGTACAAAAGTTCATGATTGTTTCTTGTAATAAGCTACCAAAAATATAAGCAGTATAAACAATATGTACCTAAGTTGTTACGTCTCCCTCCTTACCGTTAAGTCTTTAATTCAATATAATTGATTTGGAGTACTACAAAAGAGTATTATAACAGAGAATGATTATGTAAACATGTAGTCTGAAGAACTATGAACCAGTACGTCACGAATTTAGGTAAACAGTATAAGAGACACACTGAAAAAGAAATTTGTAAATGGTATGAAAGGGAACATACAATTGATACATTGAAAATTTCTCCCACTATTATATTACCATTGATAACCTTAAAATATATTTTTATTTAGTATCTAACTGTTCTACTTTTTGTTAGTTCTTGTAAAAATTGAAGTTCATAAATTAACTGAACATAATTTTTAGTAGCAATTGTATGAAACCTAAATAAATTTTTTTTGTCATTTGTAATTTAAGCCAAAACCTTTCTTTCGCAGTTTCAAACTCTTTATGCAAAATTTATTCCTACTTTTCGGAAAACTCGAAATTTTTCATAATTTCCCTGTTATTTTGGTAATTTGGCCTGTTTATTGTGAATTTTATACTGAATCCAGATTATTTTTTTGAACACTAAAAGGCTGGTATACAGTTAATAGTAGTATAAAATGAAACTACCTTTTCATGTTTAATTAATCATTTTGTACGAAACTTAAAAAAGTTCATGCCTTACATTTTCCTCAAACTTTAGCAATGCTCCTCGTATTTAATAAAATGTTTAAGTAGCTACAATAAAAAAATACCTTCACACAGCTTATTTTCAGATAACAGTTGCTCCCGCATTTGCTTATATTCGAATTTCAATTCGTTGATCTTTGCTTCGTATTTTATCGTGTCTTTATCTCTTGCTTCCTTCATCGCGGTGATTCTCTCTTCCAGTTCCTTAATTTCGTCGGTTTTCTCTTGTAACATTCTTTTAAGGTATATAATAATATCGTTTCTGTCCTCGTCTAATTTATTTTTCTCTTCCGTAAGTTCCTCGGTTTTTACTTCTAATTCTTGATTTAGAGATCTCATCCTAGCTAATTTTTTATTCAAATCCGTGATTTGTATCTCGTAGAAAGCTTTGTCCACTTCGGTTATTGCATTTGGATCGATTTCTTTTTTCGCTTTTTTACCGCCTTTTTTTCCTTTACCCATGATGAATTAGTTTTGATTTTTGGCAGATAAACACATTAAAACCCCAAACAATACTTATTTATTACGTTTCCAAGGATACTTATTCTTTATTGATTAGTATAGTAGTTGTGTTCGGATGTGAAAACTTTAAAGGTGAGAATACATTAGGCAATCGCGGTCCCATCGCATCGCGGCCTGATATGCTCGAAGAGCCTGTGCTTGTGCAATCTCCTCTATGAAAAAAATAGGAGGAGAATGCAATGCGATCGAGACCAATATATGAGAAGGACTAGTACAGACCGAGATGCGACGGGAAGGCGATTGCCTAATGCGTTCTCTCCTTAAAGAAGCAGAACAAGAATGACTTTTGTAAATATCTTTTTTTTAGAATCGGAAACGCCAATGATTATTGTAACTGTGGAGTACAGAGGAAAGGAAAACAATCTCATATGGTTGTTTATCTCAAAAAGTGTCCACCACATACTTTGATTACTAAGAGAGGTCCAACACGCCTAACATAGGGCGCGGCCATTTTGATTCCTATGCCACAGTTTATAGCTAAAGAATCAGATCGCGTACTCTGTGTTGGCAAGGTAAATTAGAACTAAGCTAGTTGAGTTAGAAAGAAGAATTCGTATCCTAGCTTCGGTAATCAACACTTAAGCTAAAAACACTACCTTGTCCTCGTCTATATCTGAACCAAGCCATATTCCAAACCCAGTTTCACAAAACCACACTAACAAGACCACTAAGCCACCCACGTTTGACGGTTAGACAAGATGGGATCGACTTCGATTTGAAGCTGCTGCTAGAGCCAAGATAGCAGCTCTACTGATAGTGGTCGCAGCGAGGACAGCCAGCAGCCGTTTTACAAGTACTTACCCAAGGAGAACCCAATTATTCGTCTCTTGTCTAAGCATTGGAGATAATGTATGGCCAGCAGTATTTAAAACGGGTATTCCAAAGCTAGCTAAAGGTTTGTAGTCAGAAAAATAGTGATAGTCTACAGGAATTCGAGGCCAATGTAAAAAGATCGATTCATCTGGTCTGTCGACAGGCATCTAAAGATTTCCAAGAACAAATCGGTATACAACCATTCATTAACGGACTGCAAGATGTGGAAATTTAGCAAGCTCATCGACTACAGCACCACAAGCCTGAGGAACTGATTGCAGTCCAGAAATATGAAGCAAAAAACTAGATCTCTAGATATCTAGATCTTCTCGTGTAAAAGTAAGAGAAATTAGATTCTAGCAAAGTGAAGAGGCTAATACTATTCTCCAACCCACTCTCTCACACATCTTCAAAATACTGCAATATGTGCAACGAAACAGCCAAAATAAAAGCAGAAAATGTTTTATTGCGAAAGAATCGGGTACTTTCAAGGAATCTGTAGAAGCAGCGCTCGTTCTATAAATCGTGAATCGGGGAATGAGTCCAGCAAGCCCTCTAAATCAATCTCCAAAAGTGCGTCACGTAATCCAACAAGAAATAATTACAGCAGATATGCTTCCTAAAGAAGCCAGTCACCTACATGTAGCCGGCTTTCTAGCAATACCCAGGAAGTAGTTCATCGAAGAAGCCGTCTCCATAGCAACGCAGACATTTTCTCCAAGCGGTCCTGTTTAGAACGATAATGCCGGTACTGTAAAAGGCTTGAAGAATGAGAGGAACCGGTTAAAGAAGTTAGTCTTCAGGTAACCACTCTCAAGCCAGAGAGTGAAGAGGAGGAAATCATCCTTAAAAGCCTGAGAAAGGGACAAAAGACAGACAATAACTTCGTTGTCCGAGAATGGCTCAAAAATAAGCTCAGACGACACTCATAGCATCTCCGCTCATAGCATCTCCTCTTTATTCTATTCGCTCCGTGCGCGACAGCAGCGCCAATTTGTTTTGGTATTAAAGGAGTATTTCTGTTTATACTGACAAATACAATTTTTAATAGAATTCGTAAATAAAAAGTATATATGTTAGTTTTAATAAAAGTATATGGATTTATAAAACAATTAAAACATTAATTTATTATTATTATATATTTTTCACGCTTAAATTGAAGAAAATTATGTATAATCATTAAAAATCAATAATAAAATATAGGCAGGCAACAGTATTTACTGGAAAATGTATGAGAAGTTGCCTAAGTCTAATAAGTTGTCATTGAAGAAACCATTTATAATAGCGTGAAGTTAAAATGTATAAAAAGGATCGCTACTTATATTTTCATTTTTGTTCTAAAGAAAACATAGAATGAATGATTAAAACTGGTTTCCGATCAGTAAGTCACAAAATTGCATACCAGCCAAATATTATAATCAACGGCAGAAATCTTGAAATCTAGTCCTTGCTGAATGAACATTTAAGAATAAAGGGATATTAAAGAACATCGTAAAATGATAATTTATTGTTTATTTAAAAACTTTCTAGTTTCTGATGTCTACTATTTCCAGCATTACTGTTATTATCACAAAAATAAAGGTAATTTTTCTTCTTATTGTACACCTATCCATTTATTTCTTTGATTTAATTTCCACTTTGTTAGTGAAATTTGTTATATAAGTTTCACTGTTTTTTTTTGCTAGTATTTGTACAATTTTCAACACAGCAACTCCGGTTGCTTATTGTGTTGTTTTTACCTACTTTTTTGAAAAAAAGTAAAATGTATACGTGTATTTGATATGCCAAAATTACAAAATATCCCCCTAAAATGCACGAATTATCCGTAGCTAGCGCTAGTATCGCTTTTGCTTCCCTTTCCATGACTTCGCACGGAGCGAATATCAATGTCCACAGATTAGCTAACAAAAACAACTAGGAATGATAATCTTACAAATCCACCGATCACTAACTTATACAAGGATTCTATGAAATGCAGAAGATTAAAACGTCACTGACTAGAAGTTCTTTTAGAGTAAACCTCAGAGACCCATCGATGAATGGTGACCACCTCATGCCACCTAACAAGAAACCAAACCATTTACTTATTTTTTTTTTTTTAATTTGGCGTCATCGGCATCGACTACTAAGGCCATTAGCCTCGTGTTCTGTGTAGGCTTTGTTACTGTTTTCCAACGCCACTTTAGTAACAGCACTGTTAATTAGAACCTAACAGTGAATGGTCGAGTGGGGAATCCTACCAGGGCATCACAATTAATTTTAAATAATTAAATTAATTCTGATGCCTTGGTAGGATGCCCCACTGTGTATCTTGAGAAAATTGTAAATTTGCAATATCATACAAAAAGTATTTAAAAAATGAATCAAAACTTCCTGCAGGAATTACAATTATAGTTTTAAATCATGACAATTATCGATTTATTAGTTTGAATTGCTTATAATACTACTATTATTTATACGATATTTACATTCAGAATAATATAATTAATTATATACATGGATTTACCACAAATGAATAATTATTCAAACAACATTTATTGGCGTGTAAACTATTTGTAATGTATTTTTTTATATTTTATTATTCAAAATAGTGACTCACTTCACAAAATTTAGCACCATATCTGGGTGGAGGGGAATCACAGAAACGGTAACGACTTTTAACTCCTCCGAAACATGTACTCGTACAAGGTGTCCAATGACTCCACGGGCCCCAACCACCACTTTCTTGATCTGCAACCAAACAATTTATTTGGTAAAAAAGGAAAAATAATACTGGTAACAGTTTCGATCCGAAAAACAACTACCCCAATAGCTTATAACTTGTACTGAATCAAAATTTCAAAAATAGGAAAGCCCTTTTTCGAATATTAAAAAATGAAATGGAATTCGAGGTCATCAAATAAAAACGCAATATTCTGTCTGCATTACAAATCTACATTTTTATGTTATGAGAACTTACCAGAAACTGGCAACGTAGGTACACAATCCATCCTAATATCAGTCATGGTTCCAGTTATAGCTTGACTAACGTAAACGAAACAATATTCCACATAGCGTTCAGTAAATAAATCACATTCAAAATATAGACTATGTTGTCCTCTTACGACTCTATGTTCAGCAATGTATTCCAATGTCGTAGGTGGATCAAGACTTGCTACATTAGCTCTCAGCTTGGCGTAAAGCCTTATTTTATCACCAATTTCCCGAATACAAGATGGATACTCGAAAAGAACTGGTATTCCACCGCTGTGAACGTCACAAGGGAAAATGCTGGTTGCGTGGACGTTAAAGACAAATTGGTCGCTCCAGTTTACCTGAAAATTTTACAGTTATGTTTTTTAGTTAATAAAATGTGTCACCACAGCAACTCAGGTATTTTAAATTCGGAAATGTTTATGTTTATGTGACGCAATATAAGTTGATCTCAGGCTAACGTTAAATTAAGATGCGCGGTAGAGAGCTCATTTCACTGAAAGTCGCAAAATAAATACTTCGACAAAAACAAATGAAAGGACGATGGGCGTGCTAATTATTTTGTAGTCATGGATTCTAGAAGTTTAAGAATTTAGATAGGTCTCATCTTTGACAGCAAGTCAACATGGAACTTACACTTAGAAAACAGAGTCAAAAAGCATACATTGCTTATGAACAATGCCGCCGAACCATGAGGTGCACCTAGAGTTTCTCCCCCAGAGTCGTCGCATGGACATACACGATGACCGTGTAAGTCCATATGCTTACATACGGTGCAGTTGTCTGGGTACCGAAAACCCAAAAGTTGACAGCTATCCGCAGATCCATGGAAGTAATTCTTAGTCCCACTTACCTTGATATTTGCATCAAGGAGGTTGCTTTAATTAGAATGACACGCTTCCGAATGGTTGGAATAGAACCTGGTGAGGCGAGATGTAGTTTTTGGCAGGAGGTGATCGATTCCCCTCCCACTGTTTTAAACGAACATGGACTCCATCTCACTGAGATATATCTTCCATAAGCCATATAAAGTTATAACAAAACAAATAGAAGTAGCAGGTATGATTCACATCTACACCGACGGTTCTAAAACAAAACAAGGCTCAGGATGTGGAATATACTCCGGATCCTTAAACCTAAACATAAAATGGGCTGTGAGCAGTAGTGCCAGTGTAGTTTAAACCAAGCTCATCGGGAAAATATTATCACAGGAAGAAACATGCTCATCTAAACAGATAGCAAATAAGCTCTACTCACCCTGTAATAGAATGATTGGAATATTACGTAAAAAAGGGGCTGATTGTAACAGTCGAAAAAAATAAGATAAACGTGTCTCAAACGCGCTTACCTTCTGTGCTGCATCATATGGTTCGTCGGATGAAGTAGGTGGTAGTATTAGTCCAGTAGCCAAGACCGGGCCCGGTTACACAATTTATATAACAACGTTTATTATACAGGATTTATAATAGCGGATTTAACGGCACATACACACCACAAAGCGTTCGTCGCGGCAATTTCTGTAGTACTCTTCGTCCAACGGCGTTTCACTTGTCTTACAGTCAGACGAAGCGCATGTGTGGGCCAAAGTTTTAAGTAAGCGATTTGAGACAAGGCGCGAATATTTAAATAATAAAATAGGAATTAATTCATTCTGGAACACACCCTAAACAGACCATATCATAGGGCTGTCAAAATAAACACTCTGCAGGGAACGGGAATAGGAAGATGAGACCATCGAGCATATCCTTTACGATTGCTCGATACTCTTATTTATTAGAATATTTGTGTTCGGCGAGAATTGGTTAATAATGGGTCTAGTGAGGTCTAAATGCCGTGGATTAACCTAAATTCCACCCTCCCCAAATAATGATGAAGAAAAAATATATAAAGAGAATATAAATTACAAATTAACCGATTAACCTATAAAGAAATCCAACTTTTGGCATAACAATATGTCTTTTTTTACCAAACTGTAAAATTCTTAATATTATAACGAACCGGGTCTGAGCCGGGCTCAGGCCAACAACGGGCCCAGGTTCGTCAGATTTGTACGGTGTCATATATATACCGCGCGATGGAAAACAAATGAACCTACTTCGATCCTATTTGGCCCGACCCGTGGTAGGCTCGTTGCTTTCCATCGCGCGGTAGATATACGATACCGTACAAACCTAACGATCTTGGGCTCGTTGTTGGCCTGGGTCCAGCTCCTTTGTTAGCCTGAGTCCAGCTCGGGCCCGGCCCGGTCCGTTATATCTATATGCACTTTAAGAAGACTAGAAAGCCCTAGCTTGTCAAGAGCTATTGGATTTAATAATCACAATATTGACGAATTTTTTATCAACTATATTTCTATGTTGCAATAATTCCAGTTTACTGCTGAAAGTTATGAAGCCAATCAAAATAGTTTCTGTAACAGCAGAACGGGAAGAGCTTGTTACTTTTGTGAGATTAGTAAATGCAGCGGGTCAAGCACTTCCTCCTGTGTACATATTCTCTCATACCACGTTGAACAATATTTAGTTGGTAGCAGTGGCGGCTCGTAGGGTGGTTCACAGTGACATAATATTGGTATCAGTACAGATGTATGAAAAAATGTTCAGTGTTTTACCTATGTATGTACCGGGATCTATATTCTGCTACTGTGAACCCCCAAAATTTTGGCCATGAGCCGCTCCTGGTTGGTAGTCTAGTATCCAGCATTGCCCTTGGCAACAAAAGTGGCTAGATGACTTTAAAGCTTTTTACACACGTCCTTAAACATATTGTCAACACACATACTGTTCAAAGGGATACCGAATTTTGGACAATGGACAATCATAAAAGCCATATATCAGTGAAAGCTATAAATTATTGCAGATAAAATGGAATTTGTCTCTTGTCATTTTCGCCTCACACTACGCACAAATTGCAGCCTTGTATGTGGGAATTTTTGGGTTATTTAAAGCAACAGCTTATGATGATTGGCTCTTATCTAACCCTTGGGAAAACATTCACTTTGAGACACACATCTCTCAATTAACCAAAACACCATTTCTAGATGCATTTACTCCAAAAAATATAATTAATTCATTTAAGAAACCTTGATTGTAGCCATTAAATCGCCTTGCTTTCACAGCCGATTACTTTCTTGCTAGCTCTATACGGATAGACCTTTAGAAAATGGTACAAGTCAATTTGAGCCAGGTGTACAAGAACAGCAAAATTAGATGAACAAAGTAGATTATTTAATTGTGGTTCCGCACATAATCAAACTGAATATGAAAATTAATAATCCTCAATTATGAAAAATACACACTTTTGACATGTTATTTCGGCAGTACCACTTGGCGGACTACATGTACTCCATCGGGGCTCTCCCACTTCCGGTGCAATAGGCTATCGTGAAGATACAGGGAGTTCCACTGAGTTTAGTAGCCCTTAATAGCTCTACTATATTGGACTATCTCTTGCCCAGTGAGTCTGACTTTATTTTTGAGTCATTCTCGGACAACGTTTACGTCATTGTCTTTCTTTTGCCTCTTTCTCAGGCTTTTAAGTACGATTTCCTCTTCGTCACCCTCTAGCTTAATAGTGGTTGCCTGAAGGGTAACTTTCCTGATTATTGCTAGAAAGCCGGCTTCTGCGGGACGCATATCTGCTGTATTTATTTCTTGTTCGACCTCGTGACGGGCTCCGGGAGAATAATCTATGTGACTTTCCGGCTTTATTCTCCGATTCTCGATTTATAGAACGAGCCCTGCTTCTAGAGGTTCTTTGAAAATGTTCGACTATTCTGCAATTAAAGCATCTCCCGCTTTCCTTTTGGCTATTTTGTTAAAAATTTTACAGGATATTTAAGATTTGTGAGATAAGTGGGTCATGGAATAGTATTAGTATTGGCATCTTCTCATTCCAAGAATCTAATTACTCTTACTTTTGAGTGAGAAGATCTAGCTAGATATTAGTTTTGCTACTTCATATTCCTAGGTTGCAACCAGTTTCTCCCTCAGCATCTTGTGGTGCTGTAGCCGAAGACTTTGCTGCAATTTTATATCTTATAGTCCATCAATGAATAAATGTATGCCGATTTGTTCTTGGAAATCTTTGGGCGTCTATGGATAGGCCAGACCAGATGAGTTAATCTTTTTATACTCTCAATATGTTGTCTGACCGTCAAACGTGGGTGTCTTAATGTTCTTGATAGTATAATTTTGTTAAATTCGGTTTTAAATATGTCTTGGTTCGGTTATAGATGAGAACAAAGTGTTTTTAGCTTCACTGTTGTTTATCGAAGCTAGGATACGAAGTTTTCTTTCTAGATCAATAAGTTCAGTTCTAATTTGCCTCTAGCTGTTTTTAAATTCTGTTGTTGTGCTAAGATATCTATTTGACTGTTAAGTTTTTTGCTTAGAGTTTGCTTGAATTTGTAATAAGCCATTCATAATTTCTACCTTTGGTTTTCTAAGTCTCGTTGTCCTTGTCCTTTCGACACCTTTCCTTTTGTGCTTTTCCTTCCTTCCTGCGCCTTTTTTTCTGCTCTTCTTGCCTTTTCCTTTCCTCATTTTCCTTCTTCCTGCACTTTTTCTTCTTCTTCTTTCCTGCGCCCTTCTTTTTCTTCTTTCTTCCTGTGTCTTTCCTTGTCCTCTTCTCGCCTTTTCTTCTCCTTTTATCGTCTTTACTTCTCTTCTTCTCGCCTTTCCTTTTCCTTCTCTTCATCTTCAAAAACTATGCTGTGGGACCTAAAGTATCCATGGCTGTTTCATACGCAGTGGATCTAGTATTTACCATCAATAGAATATTTAGGTAACTTTTATTTTGTATCCCACTACTGTTACCAAAGTTACAATATTTTATGATGGTTGGCTTTCATACCCAAACTATAACTTGCCTAAAAAGTTCCACATAGGTAAATTTTATATTTCATTAAATGCTGTGCAAGTCAAAAACAGTCATAAATTAAAGCACTTTATGTAATTTATTTTCGCAACAAATAAACCATTTTTAAATTAAAACTAAAAATACTTATTGATTATAGCTGAAAATTTTATGCCTGGCACTTTTATTCTTTTACTGGTGCTTGATTTCAACGAGATAACTAATTACAATTAGAATTTTACCTTGAGATAAGCTGGTGTATACGAAAGATCGATTGAAGAACTCGAGGGCTTCAAGAATAAAGCGTAATATCCAGCTAATCCAAATAAATAGCAGTTCAGTGTGATTATACGGAGACTTGGAAATCCACGAACTTTTTCGGAGTACACCATCTGAAAGTTATAAAGTATGGAATTATGTTTAAGTAGGTATTTTTAAATTACAAAAGGTTAATAAGATATTTATGCAACACGCGACGTGGGTAACAGTGGTTTTTGCAACAAGAGCAAAGTTTGAGCACGACGCCGTAAATATTTACTATAATGAGAGTGTAATTAGGTATAGCACTATATTTACCTGAGTAATATTTTGATCTGAATACATTTTGCATGTAAGCAAAGAGTCTCCGCAAAAATGTAAGGCTAAGGAAAATTCAGGAATTGAAATTTCAGCATTATTTTCTTCGTCAGGAAAACATTTTACATCAGGATATTCCAAAGTGGCTTCGACAGGATGATCTGGATAAGTTTCTAAATTTTCTGAACTAATAGATAACTTTGCAATGGGCCATCGAACATCTAAGCTTCTACTAGTTATTGAATCTTCTTCAGGATCATAATAAGTCGAATTCTTCCAACCTGTAATAGTTATTTGTGAACCAAGAGTTATAATAATTTATAGTGGTAAATTAAACTTTTTTGACGATGCCAAAAAAAGCCAATAACAATATAATATTAATATAATTTAATAATATTATAATCTAAGAATTACAAATCCTCAAAACTCCACCAAAAAGTTTCTTTGGCGCCCTCTTTTGAGCCTTAGACTGTTAGCTCAATTGTATTTGTAGTGTATTAAAAATAAATATTATTGATTAAAAAATGACTTACCTATAGGCTGTTTTTTGATCACAATGTAATACAATCCTTCTCTAGAAAAATATCCGCATGGTATATTGACGCTGATATTATTCGGAATCTCAGTTGCTTTAGGAAATATTGGAAAAGTCGTCAGCGGTCTCACTGCGTTTCCTTCTAATCGGGAAAGTTGCATCAGCAAAGGTGGAAACGATGATGCAATAATTTGGACTTGTAGATCGCCACTAAGAGCGACGTGTACTAAAGGTAGAGAGAGATGTATACCTGGTATATCCACACCTAGAATAAAAAAAAACACTTTTAAGTTTATTCTATACCCACATTTTTCTAAAAATATCATTAATAGAGAAAGATTTTATTTTTTACTAAATGGCAGTTTGTGCAAAACAAATTAGGAACACTTTTTCCGGAAGCGCAGAGGGCTCATGTCACAACAAAACTGGTGTAAAATATAGAAATATGCCAATATAATGAAAATATACATAAGAAAGTAACTCCTACACTAAAAATGAAATAAAATAACAACTGGCGATGGATAGAAGGCTGCATTGGTATTAGAAGGTACTAAAAGGTATTAGCAGGAATTAGAAGGTATTAAAACGTATTAGAAGGTATCGGAAGGTATTAGAAGAAATTAGAAGGTATTAGAACGTATTAGAAGGAATTAGAAGGTATTAGAAGGTATTAGAAAGTATTAGAAGGTATTATAAGGTATTATAAGGTATTATAAGGTATTATAAGGTATTATAAGGTATTATAAGGTATTAGAAGGTATTAGAAGGTATTAGAAGGTATAAGAAGGTATTAGAAGGTATTAGAAGGTATTAGAAGGTATTAGAAGGTATTAGAAGGTATTAGAAGGTATTAGAAGGTAGAAGGTATTAGAAGGTATTAGAAGGTATTAGAAGGTATTAGAAGGTATTAGAAGGTATTATAAGGTATAAGAAGGTATTAGAAGGTATTTATTATAAGGTATTAGACGGTATTTATTATAAGGTATTAGAAGGTATTTATTATAAGGTATTAGAAGGTATTTATTAAAAGGTATTAGAAGATTGTATCAAGCGAAACGGGCAAAGATAATATTTAATGCTGTAGAACAAAGACTTATTGACAGAAAATAGTTTTGAGCAAAGTACTTCACGAAAGGAGTTCGTGTCTTAGATGTGTAACGGCTAAGAAATCAAAATAGGCACGGGTTTAAACTGCCGCTTTAACACCCATGATACTTTAAAAAGAAGGTATGATATAACGCAGACTGATAGTACGTCACGGTGACATTATGTGAAGGAAGACCTAATCAGATAAGTATATTCCATACCACAATACGTCATGCGCGAACTCGATGCCAAGTATCATATCTCTGAAATTTTTTGTAACATGATTATTACCTGTCTTTATTTTTGTGATATTGGTACTTGATTTCAAAAGCGTCATAATATTAAATTTATACAATTTTTTATTTTGTTTCATTGAGATTTTACTATATCTTCAATATACTATTTTACAGAAACAACAATATAGTGCGTCCAAGGATGGATCTGTATTTAAAATTTTACAAAAATGTAATTTTTCATAATTTCTTAACGTTAATTGTATTTATTTTATAAACAAAAGAAATTATGAAGAAATACTTTTTTTTATTTATAATAAATATTTTTGTATAGTAAGGCCATCCGTGGACACACCCCAGACAACACACCAAATCCCAGAGATATCCACAGAATATCTTTTGTGGATATCCAATATATCCACAGGATATCAAAAATATTCCGTGGATCTAATATGGATATCCAAATGTCCGTCTATATCCAGAATATAGAAGATATCCTATGGATATTCAGCAAAATATCTAATGAGTATCTTCCAGAAAATACAAGAAATCCCAGAGATATCCACAGAATATATTTTGTGGATATCCAATATGGATATCCAACCAAATACCCGTCTATATCCCAGGATATAGAATTCAGATATTCAGCAAAATATTTTATAGGTAGAGGTTCATAAATAACCAAGGAATATTGAATAACGTCGAAAGAAAATAGAGATAAAAAATATTTCCAACAATCTGCCTTTGATTTTGCCCACTAAGGGGCAAGGGCACTAAGGAGAAAGTCATCCTTATTAGGACTCTTCAGCAGTAAATGGAAATTCTCGACTCCAGTCTCTAATGGAGTCTGAATGTAAAAAAATTTCGATCGAACTCAATTACGGCGGGTTGAGCATGAGTAGATACGAAAGTGGTATCGCCATCTATACTTAGGAAGCAAAATCAAAAATTACATCTAGTGGATATCCACGATGGTTTGCGTCCCCGCTTAGACTTTGATATATTTAGTGGATGTCCATGGGATATTGAATACACCTTAAAAAAAATTAATTTTAAATATCTGAACGGTACTATTAGCCACAATGGCGAAATTTTTTAATAATTTGCTATATAATTACTATTATTTATGGACATTTGCATGTCTATAAATTACATTTCATGGATATAAAATAGATATCCACCATGGACTGGACATTCAGTGGATATTGGGATGTTCAGTAGATATCCAAAGGATTTGGTGTGCTGTCTGGGACTTTATAACATCTATAAAACATTTCAGAATAACTTTCGGGGGAAAGTACTGTAAAACTGCTAGTGTGATGTTTTCCCAACTTTACTTTGTAGCTATAAGTCTTACCAATGTGGATATTCGGAAGTTCCATGGATGTTAGGGTTACATTAAAAGTACATTGCATGCGAGCTTAAAGATTCTAAAAGTGCAGCCTACACATACTTTGATTACTATACTTTGGCAGCCTATTACTGTGTATGGAATGTTTTGACCTCAGCTGGGATCTTAAGACGGCATTTTTTTTTGGATCGTGGAGATTTTTGAACAGCATCGTAAAAACTAGCTGTACCTCATGTTTTTAGTCTTGGAAGAAAGGCAAAATATACTTAAAACGTATTGGGTTCTATAAAGACTAAATATAAGTGTTCCTTGTCTGATAAATCACTTACTCAATTGCTTCATTTGTCAACAACATAGATTATTCTATCACTGGTGTTTCGATAATCGGATAATAATTGGGCTGAACAATACCTTCCACTTGAGTTAGTAGATACATTTATGTTATCAACTAATTATAAACGAGTTACATTTTTGAATCAGTTTTAAAAAATATCAATGACTAGAATGAACTAGGTATGTTTAAGTTGATTATTGGGAAACAAAATAATTTTCTTCAGTGACTAGAGCAGTGATTCTCAACCTTTTTTTGTTGTGGCACACTTTTAACGATTTCAAAATTTGGCAGCACATAAAGAAAGAGATAAGTTTAAAAATTATTTACTTACCTATAACACACTGCGTAAAATAGTTTATGATAATAATTTTAAATGTGCTAAATAAAATGATATGTACTTGAAAAATAACAGTACGTTTATTAAGGGATTAAAAACAAGTTAATAATAAGAATACTTTTAATGCGAAATTTGAGCTTTAGGTTTTTTGATAATTTCATTTATATTTGCTATTCTCATATCGTCTTTTACATTTAACAATCTTGACCAATTTTTAGTTTTAATGTTTGTTAATGCAGAAAATTCGAATTCACACAAATAAGATGTTGTAAATTGTAATAATATGTTTAAAGCTTTTTAGGCTATCATTGGATAATCGCATCTAATGTTAATACAAAATAAATTAATTGATTCTTCTAAATGTTTTAAATTAAATCTCTATTATTGGAAAGCAAAATGAGTTCTTCTTCTTCATTCAAAGTTAAGTCAAGTCAAATACAGAAGTATCCGTTATTCCGTTGCCAATACATGACTTCTACCAAACTTTAATTTCTTCTAAATATGCTAATTACATTAAAAATATGTTTGCCAGTTATAAAATCAGGTAACTCTCAATAATATAAAAATTGATTAATTATATCATTTTCGTGAATGAATCTAATTGAGATTGTCCTGTAAAATCTGTTGTTTCGTCGATTTGTAGAGCAAAATTTGAATTTGCAAGAGTTTTTGCAGTTTTTTGCTTAATATTTTGCGACATATCTTAAATTCTGCGATGGATTATGTCATTCGAATATAATATTTTACAAATATCAATATATGCTGATCCACCAATCATTATTTTTACAATTTTGTGACAAGCTGGTAACAATTTCTTCAGCCAAATTGTGAGGTTTTAATTTAATAACAATCGATCCAGCTATTTCACAAGAAGCTTCTTAGACACACCGATTTGTTTTTGAAAAACTTTCACTTGCTTGCATTTTGAAGCTATAGACTTTTGAAAGTAGCTTTTATTTTTTATTGAAAGCGAAGGATGATTAGTCGCCAAGTGACGTTGGAGCACTTTTGGAGTCACAGTTTATTGCTAAAGAATCAGTTAGCTCACTCGGACCAGTTAAAAGTTCATCCACTACAGGGATACAAATTCAGGATACGCAGAAGACTGCTGTTTTATTATAGGCGGTTGTCATATATTTTATTATCTGAGTTGCCCAGTGTATAAACTGGAACATTGAGATCAAAAGTGCCGAGCAGAGTGAGCGATCTGATTCTTTAGCTATAAACTGTGGAATAGGAATCAAAATGGCCGCGCCCTATGTTGGGCGTGTCGGACCTCTCTCTTGCCTCGTATAGTAATCAAAGTATGTGGCTCGGATCCATAGCACTATTTTATAATTTACAACCACATATCACACACTCTGGAACAACTTTGTCATTTTCCATTGTAGAGGTAAATCCAAATTTCAAAAAATCATCTTAAACAACGTATTTTTTGAGCTAAAAGTATTTTTACTTGTACCGGGTGTGGGCTCATTAAGTTGTTCTTTAACGTTATCATTATAACTGTGTCACTTCATACAATATATTTTACAAAGTTCATCATATACTTAAATCAATTTTTTACATAGAAATCCTAAAAAAGTACGCTCTTTAATAAAAAAAAAAAATTGGACCAGGGCTAGCTGAGGGCCGCAATATCATGTTGAGTTAGTATCTCATATTAATTTTCCCGCTGCATCATTAATGCTATTTTAAAATTTCAACTTAATATCTTTTAAAACAGCAGATATAATTTATTTTAAAGTTTTCATGCGGATACCCAGTATACATGTAATTTCAATAAAAGTTCTTATATATTTCAGAGACATGGAACTGAGGTCAGGTAGAAGGGCTTTACTCATATACTGGATTACAATATTAATATGTGGAACTATAATACTTTATGGAAACATCTTCGAAATGGACTACTTGACCGTTAGATTTAATAAACCGTTGCTCAAACAAGGCTCGAAGGAAAATAATTTTACTATTGATACCCCAGGTTGTAAAATACCATACTTGGATGCTTTCGATAAAAACATAAGGAAATATACAGAAAAATATTCTAAACCAATATGCGATGTAAGTTCCCCACTTGTTGCGTCAAATTTAACATCAATTTTTGTATTACCATCTTCATTTCCTTTGTACCACATTGAAGATCTACGTTACTTGGAGTGCTGTTACCAACCATTTTGGCGCATCGAACCTGAAAAGGGCGAAGAAGATACAAAAATTGAATTTGATAATACCTGTTATCCATTTATAGACGACATAGATATCCAAGATGAGTTTATCAAAGTTACTTGCAAATATAATTCAACAAACATTTATGTAGATACATTTTCTTTTGTACCTCTTAAAAATGGAATGAAATTTCAAGCCGATCCTGATCGTTTAAACGTACTAGTACTAGGATTAGATACTGTTTCTAGGTTGAACTTACATCGACAAATGCCTAAGACTGTAAAATATTTAGCAAACCTTGGTGGTGTAGAATTGATGGGTTACAATAAAGTCGGTGATAACACTTTTCCTAATTTAATTCCAGTATTAACAGGTTTAACTGAAGATGAATTAATAAATAATTGCTGGCCACATCCAAATGATAATTTTGATAACTGTTCTTTCGTATGGAATCTGTACAAAGAAAAGGGGCACATTACCGCATACGGGGAAGATTGCGCTTGGATGGGCTTGTTTAACTATGAAAGAAAGGGTTTTAAAAAACAAAACACAGATTTTAACTACGCTGTTTTCAATAGAATGAGTGAAGGCCTCATTGGTAACTCCAAAGAGGTAGATTGTAATCAATGCATAGGAAGTAGACTTGTTTACAAAGAATTATTAGATTATATGAAAAAATTCGTAATCACGATGGATACAAATCGTTTACCATATTTTGGTTTCTTCTGGGAAGTCACTATATTACACGAATATTTAAATTCACCTCAAGTGTGTGATGACGATTACCATTTACTGTTAAAAACCCTTTTGGAAGGAAACCATTTAAACAATACTGTGTTGGTATTTATGAGCGACCACGGCATTAGATGGGGTGATATCAGAGAAACTTTTCAAGGCAAAATGGAGGAAAGATTGCCGTTTGTATTTTTCTTGTTTCCAGACTGGTTTCAAAGGAAATATAGCAAAGCCTATGAGAATCTCAAAATAAATACGAAAAGGTTGACCACTCCGTTTGATTTATATGAAACGTTAGTTGTTTTGGTTAACCCAAACGATTTACTCGTAGACTACAATTTGAAAAATACAAACCTACTAGACAGAGGCATTAGTTTATTTAAACCAATTAGTGATGAAAGAACTTGCGAAGATGCTGGTATCACTGATAATTGGTGTACTTGCACAGAAAGTATGGATATCGAAATTAACAATAAAGTCCTTGATGCAGCCAAATCTGCTGTAGATAATATAAATTTTCAACTTAAAGGTTATACTCAGTGTGCAAAACTGACTTTAGATACGGTGATAGATGCAAAGTTAGTTTGGAATCCAAGTGTGAAAAAGAATACTAGTTTAGATTATTCTCTAACGTTAAGAACTTTACCGAGTCAAGCTGTTTTTGAAGTGACAATGTCAAATCTACGTAACGATTCTTTCGAAGTCATCGGTAGTATTAGCAGATTAAATCTCTACGGAGACCAGAGCTCGTGCATTACAGACTTTCATCTGAAATTATACTGTTACTGTGTAAGTTTGTTAGGGTAATAAATACATAGATATAATTACATAAATATTTCTATATTGTGTGCAAAGAGATTAAAAAGAGTAGAGGTAAGACAGAATGAATTTGCCGCTGCGCGAATTTTGCCAAAACCTTAACTCGGTGGAAGGAGAAGGGAGATGTTCTGGGCCGTACTTAAATATTTGTACTGTAGTACCTAATTTCGGTTACTTTTAAAAGATGATAAATTATAAGAGATTGTTTACTTCATTTGTTAGCACGGTTCATTTATGATGAGGGCTAGTAGTTAAGTAAAAGTTTATAAAATTATTATAACTAAAATAATTTATTGCATCTTACCTCACTAAATGTTGCATTATAATAACATTGAAATCAATAATATTAATGCATATTATTTTTATTATCAACCGATTTTACAAATTATTAAGCAAAATATTAATAATTACGTTAAAATAAAATTATATAATACAATTTTAGACTGATTAGTCTTAAGGCTCCTCTTCACGTTGGCCAATGTGCTTGCAAATATTATTGGCAATATTCATGACTAGCACATGGGTTACTTTATGTTCCTTACTTTGAAAATATGTTTATATACAGAGTGATTCATATCTAAGTGGAAAAGCAAACACATTTTTTAAATTAATTTTATAACACCTTGTAACTTTATAATTATTTACTTTGGACCCCAAATATGATAGGTAAAATAATAATAAGGTTTTAAAAAAAATAGTATATTGTATACCTAGGCAGTAAAGTGACTGTTTTCCAGGCCGAGTAAAGATAAGGACAGACGGGGCCTGGAAAACCACTTTACTATCGTGGTTTGCACCAACGGAAAACTTTACCCTACACTAAAATTAAATGATTTTTATTGCTTCTTCACAAATATATTATAACATTTACAAAACTTATTTATATGTTATATTAAATGTTGGGTTATTTATTGCACAATAATTATTAAAGGATGGTCCCACTTGTGATGAACCAGAAATATCCATTTTTGTACAATGCTCTCTCACAACTGATGTGTTGATACATTGATGCGTACTAGTCGACGGTATTTTTTTGATAATCTTGATAAATACGTTAAAATAACACTTTCACTATATCTTTTCACATTGTTTGTTCTACAACAGTTCATAAATAATTGGTGTTGAAAATTATATTTATCTTTGGACTTCTTTGGTAACAAACTAATAACAATTTTTTTTTGCTTTTTTATTAATATCCGGTGGTGTCCAATTACTAAATTCTTCACCTTTACTAGAAGATTCCAGATTATAAACCAATTTACTTTACTTTGGCTTTAGGAAAGACATTGCGTCTAGAAAGACTATAACAGATTTTTTATTGTTATAATACAGGCATAATGGGAGATTTAAAAAGTCTCATACTATTTGGAAATATCTTCTAGAACAGCATCATCTCTAGAAAGTGCTTTATTGGCCCTATGAACGATATTTATGTTGCTACTGTTCTAAGCGTTTAGAATCCTATAAAAAACATTTATCTAATATTAAAACTCTATAAAAAAACAAATTTTCTTTTCTAGTAAGTTAAATTTAATGTATAATTATTGTTGTTTGTAAGTCAAGATCTAGGACTGTAAAATTTTATTTTATTGAAACTTGTAATAAAATAAACTATACTCCGTAATACGTGTTTTGACTGGTTTACAATAAATATTAGATTTAGACATAAATACATTATTTTGCTTACATTAGAAGCTTTAAAAAGACATTGAATTGATTTCTCCTTGTGTTCTTTAGTTTTACATGTGATTTGTATCCTGTTTTACAATGTGGAACGAAGTAAATCTTGCTTTAATGTTTTTGTCACAACAACAACGCAACAACAACAATAACAATAGGTGGTGTCAACTGACACAAAAAGATTTGTCTATTTTCAATGACGTATACATTTCAAATTTTAAATTATAAATGGTTTTATTTTAAAAACTTTTGGCTTTCTTAACAAACTGATTATTTAGAAAAACTTGTATAGTGTCTATTACAATATAATTTATAAAACAGCATATTTCACATGTGAACATGGCCCATTGGGTTTCACCATGGCAAGAAATTTCGTTTCAAAGAGAATTTCACATTTTGTCTCGATCATCGAGACCAGAAATTAATACTCATCTCGATGTGTTTTTTGAAAAAAATTCTCGATATCGATTCAAGACCCTCGAAATTCTATAACTTATTCTATACATTTTTGTATCTATTTTTAACTTTAGAATATCTTTAATTTACGACCTACCTTTCTATTACATCTGTTTATATATTAATACCTAAAGGATAATCATCAGTATTTCGTTATTTTTAAATCCTTCGATTAGTTTATTTCCCTTTGATTTGTTTCAAGAAAAGACCAAGAATAACCAAATATAATTCAACTTTTCAGTTCATTTAAAGGTTCATCTTTATTTGTTTCTTGCGTGCAAGCTTAATATTTGACCTCGACATTTTTATTGTAATAATAACTTTACCGTAAGTAAATTCGGACGCTAGGTAGGTATAAGATATTGATCTGACTTCTGTCACGTAATACGGATAGGTAGGTATTACAATATGAGCGTGCTCACGAAATAGGAAACTACTTGTAAATGACCAGAGCAACATTCACTGGCTTCAATATGAAGCCAATGCTAAACAAAAAGAGATCAAGTTAGAGTTGTTATTTGTAAAAACCAATAATTAGATCAGTAATAACTAGAGCTAGGAATATATGCAAAACGCCATATTTTGCATATGTTGCATATATATACAATTTTTGATTTTGAATGCATATATTGACATTTTGTTAATTTTTTGGCATATATCTGACGTACTAATTGACTGGACATATTAAAATTATGAGTTTTGGACCAAAATAATATTTTGTGAAATGCCTTTACAGGTCGATTTCCTAAAATTTTGAAGGATTAACTTTTCCCTGTAATAAATTACGGTTAATGGTGTAGGTACTTGAGAGGATTAAATTATAAACACCCTCCTTAAACCAACAAATTTTGCTAAATATCCTTTCAGGTAGTTGTATTAATATCTTCAAATTTCTAAATGACTCAGTTTACTTTCAACTTCATTTCAGTCTTTATTGTTGTGTTGTGTTAACCAGTGGGAAAAATTACAAAATTAATTGAGTCGTGGGTAAAATCTTATTCAGATTTTGTTGTAAAAGGTGATAACCAGGTGTTTTGTAAAACATATTCTAAAATTGTAAGTACTTTTTTATTTTATATTTTATTTTGACCTTTCACAATGGTAAATCAAACGACAGTAAAATATTATTTCAACTCACAGTTAAAAAAAAAGGTAGGGAAACTTTACAATGTACTATGTAATTAAAACTTCAACATCTACAGGAATTTATTTGTTTTAGATTCCATGTAAAAAAAAGTTTCAAATCGACCAACACGCGAAAACACCCTCACAGCCTCACATATAGCAAAGCAGAAATCTAAAGACACTCGCAGACAAAGTCAACTTCCGTTGAAACAATATTTAGAATCTGGATCATCTAGAAGTGAACAAGCTATTTTTAATGAAGAATTATGCAAAGCTTTAGTGTCTTCGAATATCCCTTTAATACGATTAAATAATCCAAATCTCCGATCAATTTTGCAAAAATACTGTAAATTTAATATTCCAGAGCAAAGTATATTACGAAAACGTGGTGTTGACAGTTTGTACATTGAGACTTGTGAAAAAATTCGTGAGATTACCGTTGGAAACCATTTCTACATTATTGTGGATGAAACAACAGACTCTTGTGGTCGATATATATCCCATTTAATGATAGGTTCATTACGCGAAGAAATGCAAATTGGTCCATATCTAATCGCTTCAAAGCAATTAGATAAAACAAATAACTTGACAATAACTCGTTTTATCCAGACAGAATTGTCTTCCTTTTTCTTCCGGAAGCCGTTCTAACAGAAAAATGTTTATTGCTGTTATCCGATACTGCCCCGATGGTAAAAGCCGCACAAAATTTAAAAATGTTTTATGAAAACTTAATCCATGTTACATGTTTGGCTTATGGCCTTAACAAAGTTGTAGAAGAAATTAGGTCTAACTTTCCTTTAATATATGATTTAATTAATAATGTAAAAAAAATATTTCTTAAAGCTCCTCTAACTCAATTGTACAAAGAAAAATTTCCTGAATTACAGATGCCACCGGAACCTGTGATTACTCGGTGGCTTAAAGCTGCCTTTTTTTACGCAGATAATTGTGAAAAATTAAAGAAATCATATTTGATTTTGATGATTCATCTAAGGAAATATCTAATACAAAGAAGTTGTTTCAAAATCACATATTACCAAAGCAATTAGTGTTTTTAAAAAATTATGCATTTGTTCCCAAAATTATATTAGATTTAGAACAAAAAAATTTACCTTTGGTGACTTAAATTTAATTAAGACGTTTGAATCAGAGTGTAAAAATGTCCAGGGCGATATTGGAAAGACGATTTTTCATAAATTTTCAAATGTAATTTTAAAAAATGAAGGATTTATTGTTTTACGAAACCTTGCTAATATTTATTCTGGTAACTTTGAAGATATTAATACTATTCATCCAGATATTTCAGGAAAATTTAAGTTTGCACCTATTACTTCTGTAGATGTCGAAAGGAGTTTTTCTTTGTACAAGTACATATTTACTGATAGGAGAGAATCATTTAATACAGATAATTTAGAAAAACATCTAATTGTTCATTCGTTTTATAATAATGCTGATTTGTAAATAAAATTAGTTAATAATTAAATAATTGTTAAGTATTATATTAAGTATTGTAAAATAAAACAAATAATAAATATTAATAAGCATATTTTTCAATTTTTTACGCATATATTGAAGTATTTTGCGGCATATACAGGGTGGCTCACGCTCAACGGGACGGAGCTTTATGGGAAAACGACCAAAGATATAAAAAATTCGTTTGGGAGGAATACGTAGGTTACAGACGGCTACAATTTAAAATTTGTTAGATGTATACAGGATGTCCCACATAAGAAAAAAAAATTAGTTCATTAAAAATTATTCAAACAAGAGTAAACAATAATTAATTTCTGGGAGACTTTTTTTCCTTAAAAATTCAAATAAATCGAAAACTAATAATAATAGTAATAGGGAACCTTCAGTTAACTGACATTATTTTTGATGTAGTTTTTAATTCTAAAATAAAAAACAGGGTGTTCCATTAAAAATAATATAACTTTGTATATTTTCTCTTATGTGGGACATCCTGTATACATCTAACAAATTTTAAATTGTAGCCGTCTGTAACCTACGTATTCCTCCCAAACGAATTTTTTATATCTTTGGTCGTTTTCCCATAAAGCTCCGTCCCGTTGAGTGTGAGCCACCCTGTATATGCGCATATTTAACTACTTTTTGGGTGCATATATTCCATCCATGAGTTTTCTTATTAATTACAGGATAAGGAAATACTAAACAAATTAATTTGACAAAAATAATACCCTTAATGCAACAGAACAAGTAATAATATTTATATTATTTTCAATGTTCAAATAGTTAGGAATTATTTGAAATAAAGGCGATGCTTTGTATGAAAGTCATATATGCTTGTTGGTAGAATAGTTAATTTTTCCGAAAATTAACTCTTGGACATGAAAAGTTTGTCAAGGGAATAAAATCCACCTTGATATTAACATATTAAACAAAAATAGCACAAGTTCTTCGCATTTTTTAATAAGAGTAGTTTATATAATATACTATAATCCCCTTCCAAAAATGTCACAGCACGCCACTGATAGGGATTTAATAAGGATTTAATAAAGATTTAATAAACATTTAATAACGATTTAATAAAGATTTAAAACAAATTCATAAAGACTTAATAGGGATTTAATAAGGATTTTAATAAGAATTTATTAAGGATTTAATAGGAATATAATAAGGATTTCATAAGGATTTCATAAAGATTTCATAAGGATTTCATAAGGATTTCATAAGGATTTTATAAGGATTTCATAAGGATTTCATAAGGATTTAATAAGGATTTAATAAGGATTTAATAAGGATTTAATAAGGATTTAATAAGGATTTAATAAGGATTTAATAAGGATTTAATAAGGATTTAATAAGGATTTAATAAGGATTTAATAAGGATTTAATAAGGATTTAATAAGGATTTAATAGGAATTTAATAAGGATTAAATAGGGATTTAAGAAGGATTAAATAAGGAATTAATAGGAATTTAATAGGAATTTAATAAGGATTAAATAGGGATTTAAGAAGGATTAATAAAGATTTAATAAGGATTTAATAAGGATTTAATAAGGATTTAATAAGGATTTAATAAGGATTTAATAAGGATTTAATAAAGATTTAATAGGAATTTAATAACGATTTAATATGGATTTAATATGGATTTAATATGGATTTAATACGAATTTAATAAAGAATTTATAAGGATTTAATAAAGAGCCATGAAATCCAAGTTATCTAAGTTTACTAATTAGAAGTTTTTGGTTAATTATATCGAATGCTTTGGAGAAGTCAGTATAAATATCAACCTTCTCTTATCCGAAACTTTAGAAATATAGAATAGATTAGTTACAGTAGAACGACTAGCAATAAAACTATATTAAGTGTTGGACTAATAATTTGACGAAAAGGGAACCAGTTTTAGATAAATAGTTGGATATAACATTTTTGCGGCTGTAATGTGCAAAGAAAGGATTCCAGGAAAATATGGAGTATTAAAAATAAGGTTGAAAATAATCGTAAGAGATTTGTAAAATACCTAATCACAGTATCTCACCAGAAACTCGGGAACATTGTTGGGTCCTCTTGTCTGCTAATGGTTTTGTTTGTTTAAATATATTTTTGGAATGCAGTAATAGCAGGTGGCGCTTTGGTTCAAATTCAGATCCCTTATAAAAGGTTTTACAGAAATAAAATTGAGAATTCACTCTTAGATATAATTGTTCTACAGAAAATTGTAAATTTATAATTGAGCCTAATCAAAATACATTGTTCCTTTTATCAATGCAATTATTTTCCAGTATTATCAAATTTGTTATGAAATTTTTACTTCAACTTTTAGATTTCGTAAATTTAAAAAGGTACCTATTAAAATAGACATAAATTCTGCAATGAAAAGAATAATTGTACAACATTTGTCGTATGCCACAACGAAAATTTATCCTCATCAAGAGATATTTAATTATTAATTTACATTTGATTGACCTAACCTAGAAACTACAAAATAACTGTACATACCCGGAAAAACAGCGCTGCCAAGCCATAAATTCAAATTTAACAACGAAAAGAAACTTTTTCCTATCATATTGGAGGAACTAAAGTCATCACAAATTATGTAAATCCTTAAATGTCAAAACAAAAGGCTCATACAAAGATAAAACAAAAGAGTCTCGCGAAATTTCACCTCTAACGAACGAGTTTAAAGGGCGCACTGAATTAAAATGGAACTACGTCGGCGTCGTGGACGTCGGCGTTGAAATGGGGAGACATTCACCCTCTAACTATTGTGGAACGCTGATATCGTCGGTGGCTTGTAGTTTCCTTCAGTGGCGTTATTCTAAACGTAATAATAGGTACATTGAACCAGGAAAGTAAATATGAAGAAAACATTGTATCAATAAATAGTGGGTCAGTAAATAGTTACGCAGATGACATCATTATCATATATACGAGCAGAACGAAACTGGGAAGATTTAAAAAAGAAAGCGAAACAGATATGAGTAAATCAACAAATTCTTCTAATTTAAAATTACCTACCATTAATTTTAGTAAAACTTGTTTTATTCCCTTTAGTTGCTACACAAATTTATGGCCGTCATATGACACCCTACAAATAAAAAAACTAATAAAGATATACAAATTTAATTAAAAGAAAACATTAAATATCTACGAGTAACTGTGGACAGACACCTAAGAAATGGCAAAATGTTATTTTTTCGGATGAGACCACAATTGCCATAAGATCGGATGACCATCGAATTCGGGTTCTCAGAGCTCCAGGAAGATGAGCGAGACTACACGCTGCCAGATCTGTCCCAAGATATCAAGGAGGAACTGTAATGTTCTGGAGAGGTATTATGCTGGAAGTAACATAAATACTATGTGGTTATAGTGAAGAAGTACTGCGTACATCAGTGTGAACAAGGAGATACACACGTGTGTTCACAGATTTACAAGAAATTGTACTTTGTTGCAAATCCACGTGCAATAGGGCTCGTCATATGCCAATAAGGATCAAAACTGTTTGAAAAATAAACACCATCCAAAATGTTACCGATCAGTTCATGGAATTTATCCACAATTCTAGTTTTGTTCAACTAATAACCCAACCCACGAGATTTAGAGTAAATCAGGAACCTTCTACCCTCGATCTACTACTTACCAATGATCAACAACTCTTAACCCCACCGGTGTATCTCCCACCAGTTGGAATATCTGATCATGCAGTCATAACGTGCCGTTTACAATTTCAATCATTCTCTTCTTGCACATCCAATCACACTATCTTCTCACTCACAAACTTTGCTGAAGTTTTTTCCTATCTAGACAAACTAGACTGGATTAATATTATCCCTGAAAACAATGATCCGAGCTGCATGTGGAATATCTTTCAAAATACTGTTAATGAGTGTGTAAAATCTCATACTAAAAACAAAATAAACAGAAGAACAAATCTCAAACCCTGGATAAATAATCAACTGCTGTCTATGGTAAAACATAAGAAACACCTATGGAAAAAATTTAAGCGAACCACCAATATGAACGATTTCTCTGCTCATCGACTATTCTCCAATCAACTAAACACCGTAGTTATCGAACTATCAGGAGTACATCGCCAACTGCGCTGATAGTAAAAAGTTCTATAAATATGTTAGAACAAATCTGACATCCAAAGTGTCCGTACCTCTTCTACAAAAAGAAAACGGAGATAAGTGTGCCAACAATACTGAATCTACTCAACTTCTTTTCTTTTCTTCTTTTTTCTTTTAAAATATACAATAATATAAAAAATACGTTAGTACAAAGGAAGGATGAAGCTATGTTCCTCTAGAAGTACATTTTTTAAATTTTAATTTTGTTTAAACAAAAAGAAAATCGAAAAACTAAAAAAGTATACAAAAATTAGAAAATCCTCTCCTAAACGAACATAGATGCAAGTATACTTGACCAAAAAATATTTTTTGTTTCCCAAAAAAGATAATAGTAAACGAATAGGATGGGTGCCAGGATCGCAAGAAACTCCTCGCAAAACCAAATGTAAACCTTATTCACTGACGTTGAGGCGCCGAATCCCTAAAAAATCTAATCCAGTTGCGCTACTGGTTTCCCCTTACGTTTTATTATTCGGCGTCGGGGTTATCCTTGTATCGTCGCGACGTTGAGTTGTGCAGCATACAACTACCGTATCTCAGATAATTCATGTTTTAAAGGCACGCAAAAGCAACTCGTAATTTTACCACTTGTTAATTACAACGATATTTTTATTTGTATAGATAATGGATCTAATTGTTTACGAGAAAAATAATCAACGTTTTTTCACTACTAGCTTTAGAAGCTAACTTTATTGACTGATTTTCAGGTAGAAAAGTGGTTCATTATTAACCTAGGGAGAGAATTACAGAGCCTACCTGATAACTATATGCCTACTGTATTTTATGTAAATGATATCAGTTCATATTTTGACAGTTTTTGAGGTTAACTGAAATGCTCAAATGCAAATACAAAATGTAAAAATATTTTACTTACTTATTTAATGGTCATATCCACTATTCAAATAAAACCAATTCACTTTCATTTTGTGACTAACTCGACCACCAGCAAAAAAATTTCATTTAATTCTACGTATAAACTGTAAATTCTATAGGTACTAAACTGACGTTTGTGTTTTACATTTAATTGTCACAAGCATGGATGATTTGATTTGGAAAAAAAATTGAAATCGTTTTTATTAGTTTTAAAAACTGAATTTTTTTTTAATTAAAATGCTAGTAGTGAAAAAAATAGTATATGAGCCACGGTAGAGAAGTGAGTTATTTTGTCTCGGACAAAATAACTCACTTCTCTACCTTGGCGCATAATATACTATTATTCTGTTTATCTTATCTCATAGTTAAAATATTGTTGTAATAGATATTACTATTTCTTTTAAATTATATATATATATTATGGAGCGTATGTCATCACTAACATACGAAATAAGTAAACAAAGAATATACAAGTTTCCATCAGCATGATTAGAAAATACTCGTTAGAAGCATTTCATTATAATTAGAATCTATTCACAGATAATGAGTAGTTTTATTTTAATTTAAAATACAACGTTTGAAAAATTACAAACTAATGTTATACCAATAATACTTAGACTCTAATAACTTATTTAAACTAAGATTAACATTTGAATCTTCCAAAATCCGCGAAATGAGATCGCATTCTTCTCGAAAAAATACTTTGGGCTTTTTCCATTTTCCACGGTTTGATTTATGAGGCTTCCTAAGTCATCTGAGATGATGCCCAAGTATCTGCCAGCCCTAGAGATGACCTGCTTTCCGTTTATCTTAGCATAAACCTAGGTGGGTCCATCTGCTGTTTTTTTCAAGATCCACGGAGTATGACCGTCTCTGTCTTTTTAGGCCTCGGCTTCCATCCATCTATTTATCCTCCTTACAGACTCATTTGACCTGTGCTCCAGTTCTTCCCCATCTCTAGCTCTTACTAGAATAGCTAGATCGTCCGCAAAACCTAGTGCTTTTGCACCTTCCGTCAATTTTTTTAACACCCCGTCATACAGGACATTCCACAGAGTTGGTCCTAGAACCAATCCCCGTGGGACTCCTGCTGTGACTGTCCAGCTCTTTTTGTTAATATTTATTTTTCTGTCAAGTATCTCTGTCCATGGTTACAGATATATATTGGGATTTCCCTTCTTCTCAATTTCTTTACTATAAGATTCCATACCACTGTATTGAAGGCATTTTTGACATCTTACAAGCCATTTGCCACCGCCTTCTGTCACTTCCTTCCTTACTGCTTCTATTGCTTGAATAGTGGAATGTCCTTTCCTAAATCCATACTGGCTCTCTGAGAGATCTTTTTCCTTAGTCTAGCGGGTTTCTTATTAAATTTTCAAATAGTTTGTTCATAGTGTTCTAAATATATATGGGTCTCTGGGCTGATAGGGTATCTTACTTTTCCGCACTAACACCAACCTTGCTACATTTCAGTCTGATGGAAACACCTGCAGCTATAATAGGTTGTTCATTGCATCCAAACTGAATTTCGAAATTATTTTTACTGCTTGTTTCACCGCCTTTGGTGGGATTCCATCCGGACCCGTGCTTTGCCGTTTCTTCATACTTTTTGCCGCCGTTTGGATCTCGCCTAGTGTAAATATGATTCTCACTTCTTTCACCCAGGTGTCTCTTTTGGAAGAGAACAGATGTTTGGTTATGCTTTTCTTCATGTCTGTTGTTAGTTCGTATGATGTCGATGTAAACATTTTTTGAGTCAAAATTTTGAAGCCATTTCCACACATGTCCCTGTCTAGATCGTTGCAGAGTTCTTGGAAGTGATTCTTCTTCGATGTGCTTATTAGCCGTTTTAGATTTTTTTGGATGCTTTATAGTCTTTCCTATCAATAGTCAACTGGTTTTATACGTTTTTTCTATGAGTTGCTGCCCTTGTTGGCTCTCGTCTTCTTGTCATGCATCTCCTTCTTTAATGTACTCTTTTCGGGCTCCACCAGTATGGCACTTTCTTGCATAATCTCTTCTTATAATGTTATTATTGTATGCCTCTTTTATTATCGAGGTACAAGTCTTCGCTGTACTCCTTCTTCCTTTGTTTGCCCCCCCCCACTTTAATATGGTTTTAAATGTTACCAATTTTATGGAATTCCTTTGCTTTTTTCATTTTCTGTTTTTTCCTTTGTCCGTGATTTCAAAACAGATGTACTGGTGATCGCTTAGGTTTCCAGAACTTTCTAGTTGGTCATTTTTTTTTTTAATTTTTCAGCCGAACAGGTGACATCAATGTATTATCTGCTGTTTCCTCTGATAGATGTTGGTTTTCTCTCTGTATTGTGCACTATCATATCCATTATAGCCAGCCAGTCGGTCAGGTACTCTCCTCTTTCATACAGGACTGGGGAACCCCATTGTACCGACTTAGTCACAATACTTGTCTGTTGTAGTAGGCCATTGCTATATTAGGGGATATATAGCAGCAAATCAGATAACCATCTTTAGTCTTACAACAATGTACCCTTGATTCTCCTGTACCTCTTGTACCTCTACTTTTTTATTTCAAAAGTACACGGTAACATCTGCTCTGCCTTCCCTAACATCTTTTTCCCTTAACTATCGTTTCTTACTTTACTGATCAGCAACTCACGTGACTGTGATGGAAGCAAAAAGGAAACAAGTACGTCTTGTTAAAGCCTTCGTTATACTCATCGATTTTAAATAATTTAATACTAGTTATAAATAAAATGTCTTTAATAAAAAAATATATCACATTGAAGCTACACTAATCTTGTGAATAGCTCGCTCTATCGAAACGTCAAATACATTACTGTAACACTTAACGGCATCGTGAATACTCGGGAATAATCTCAAAAAGCTGGATTTTGTTGTTAGAAGTCCACATTTCTCCATCAAGTTGTATACCGAATCTGAAAATAAATTATAATGAAATTAAAAATTAAAAGTTTGAGTTGAAGGAAGTGCTTGCCTAAAAATAATGTTTACATTTAAATTCAAAATATATGAGGTTATTTATTTAACGCATATTGACATTTAGTTGCCTTGACAGATTGACAATTGATTAGCATATCTTCTTTTCTATTTACAATGTTTGTGTTACTTGCATAAGGAAGAACCCGTAAATATACATGTACGTAGACGTGAGAGTGAAGGATATTTGAATACGCATTTGAGCTGTCAATTTTCATGTTTACTTTCATAGCATTACTTTAACTTTCTTAATACATATATAGAAACAAATAAACATACAACTGTTGGTATTAACAGTCTTATTGCAATAAATTATGAAGTTAAATATAAAACTTTACCTGTACAACCAACAATATATACAGGAACATTTATTTTCTCAAAACTCTCTATGACAGATTTCAACATGGCTATTCCAGAAGGATCTACACAACTAACAGTTGAAAAATCCATTATCAAACACTTTAAACTATAATCTACTTTTCTTCGCAACTTATTAATCTTCTCTTTGTTTCCATTTATTTGGTCCTGTAACAAATTTTTTAAATAAAAGTTTTATTCTCTATATTTACTAATAGTAAAATCTAAATGATTATAGATGAGGAATAATTTTATATAAATCATAAAATCAGTAATATCATTATAATTTTCTTACCTCAAGTTCGTACAATTTTGTTCGATTGATTATCTCTTTTTGGGGATCAATACCAATTAATGTAAATAGATCGGATTTGAATATGTTTCTAGTTGCAAAATTTATACCTCCACTGTATTGGAATATTTTCAGTCCAACTATCTCTCTACACTAAAAATAATGGTAAAAAACTTAAATAATAAATATTTATCTGTTAAATAAAAAATTAAACCTAATTTAGATGTAACTAAAATGCCTGTGATTTAGAAGTTGCCTTATTTAATTGATGTTAAATTTGACAGTTTAAGATTTAACTATTTTCGGTAAAGAGCAAATATATACTTACGCCTTTATATCTTTTGCTATCTAAATACAGGTCTGTACTAGGTATGGATGCCAATATACATGTATTCGGTTTGAAAGATAAATAGAATATGGTTGCCAAAGACATTCCTATGCCAACTAGTAGACCAATATCGATACTGACCAAAACGACAGTTAAACAAGTGATCACCCATACTAAAGCGTCAAGTTTACTGAGTTTCCAAAATGCCATAACTTCCTTAACTTGTAGTAGAAGTCCCTTGAGAGCTACCACTATTACACTAGCTAATATGCACTGAAAAATGATAAAATCATTTATTTCACAAAAAAACTAGTAAATAGTCCTAAAGGCTATTCCAGGTATATTAAAAAACATATTGCTTCTATTGATAATTGAATCCGGTTCGTTAAATCCAAACCTAAGCTTCTAACGATCTAAGCAAATAATATTACCTTAGGTACTAATTCGAATATGGGTCCTAACCATAATAAAACAAAGACCAATAAAACACAGCCAATAACAGCAACAATCTGGGTCTTGCCACCAATGGCTGAGGCCAACATAGATCTTGTTAAGGAAGCAGACACTGGCATTGAAGAGAAGAAAGATCCAAATATGTTGCTTGCACCCTAAAAATAAATGTAATAATATTAAATTCAGTAGGTTATAAGTATAGTTCTTTTTTCATAATTGCTATAGCTTCGACTCGACTTTCATTTTAAACAGAACAAGTCACGCCCACAAAATGTAGCTAAAACTTTTTTAATTCGTGCTATAATGAAATATAAGAACAAGTGGTTTATTTAAAATTAGTTGAGTACAGTTTCAACACTGTACTCAAGGTAGCACACATAATATTTGACATACGAAAACAAAATAGATATCTTATTGTTGGTTGAAAGTCAGCCCACTAACAGATCTTACTTCAGAATACCACAGTACACTACTAATTCCGTAAACCAACCAGATAACACTATTTATGATAGTCATTTAAAAAAAAGCACCAATAAATATGTGGAATTGCTATTTTATGCCTTAAACTACCTGCAAGATATAATGATAAAGTTCATATGATCTAACCGTAGTATCAGTTTACTGCCCACCTCGATATAATTTAAAGAAAGAAAATTGAGTCGTTGGGCCACCAAATCATCGCTGTAGGAGACTTCAACTGCAAGCACAACTAAAGCCAGAAAATTAGTAAGAAAATTAGCCAAAAAATTTGCATTTTCTGTCAACTGGAACTTCTACTCCTGATTATCACTCATTTATCACTAGTGGAATATCTCCTACTTACATGGAAGTAATTCCAAGTTATGATCTTTCATCTGATTACTCACATATAATAGAAAAAAGCAGCACCTTGGTTATCCACAGAATATAAACTCATAGACTGACAAAGCAGAAAACTAAATGGGAAGAGTATCGGACCAAAATAGAGGAGGAAATCAATCTGTAAATCTACAAACGAAATTAACGAAGCACTTAAAGAAGCAAGACAAGACGCCAACCAGTAACAACCACAGGAAACAAAATATACATCTTAGTAGAGATCAAGAAAATTATATCACAAAAGAGAAAATCAAGGGCAAGATGGTAACGAATCCATATCTCAGCAGAAAAAACAATATTAAATAGAATAACTAACACACTGAAATCGAAACTTAAAGAAGTACAGGACAAGACCATTCTTAGATTACATAAGCAACTCAAGTCGTTTTAATAATTCGATAAGAAAACCAACAAAAATTATCAAAGAACCAAAAACTCAAGTTCTTCCTATTCGTAACGAACTAGGATCAAATCCACAATGAACCAGAAGCGACGAAGAAAAAAAACAAAAGAAGTACAGCAATATATTAGCTATTTGAACACAAGAATAGTTTCTGAAATACACCAAGCAACCCCAAAAATGATAAAGGAACTACCACTCAAGTTTTCAAATTTATTTTTAATGCTATGCTACGTCAATATTATAGGCCAAAATTATTTAAAACTGCTAAAATAATTGTGGTAACGAAACAAGGCAAAAGTCCTAATAACGTTAGTATACAGATGTCTAACATTCTTGAGAAACTATTGCTACAAATATTAAATTCTGATACAGGCACAGAAGAATGGACATTCCTCCATCGATTTGGTTTCTATTAAAACGTTCTATGGTAAAGCAAGTTCAATGAATACCTCACTGCATAAATTTAGCCCTGGAAGGCAAAAAATACTGTATGTCTGCTTTTTTAAAGGTTAACCAAGCCTTTGATAAGGTTTGGCATATGGGATTAAACTATAAAATCAAGAAACATCTTCACATAACTGTAAACTGTTGAGATCTTGCCTGGAGAACCGAAAATTCCGACAAAAGTTAATGAAAGTAAATCCAATAATTTTTTAAAAAACTCACAAGGTACTTCACCTCTGTTACAAAGTTTAGTTTTGTGTTTAGGAGCTCTGGAGGTTTTAGTTCCATTTCCATCCTCTTTCTTGTGAATAGGATCATTTCTGTCATCGGGAGATTGATAGATAGTGATTGGTCCTTACACTGTTCTATAATTTTAAGAGCTACTTGCGTCCTTTCGCAGAGTGTATTCTCAAAATTACCTTTTTACAGAATGACAGGTCATCTGCATACGCTATTGTGTAAAGACTGTAGTTATTGAGAAGACAGATTAGGTTGTCGAGAACCATGATTCACAGCAAAAGGGATAGTAGTACACACCTCCATTTCAAGCCAAGACAATTCAATTATATCTGCGATGTTACAAAGACACTCATATAATATCCAAACATGGTTATTTAAATGAAGAATAAAAATAAATTAGGCAAGATCAATGCTCTCCATTTTTTCTAAACAATATTCAAATACCTCAATCCACAAGTATAAAATACGTAGAAATGCACCAGGATTTAGAAAATCCAAATTGGCACTAGAAAATAAACTTATTTTTCACAAAACTATCATAAAACCTAGTTGGACGAATGCTTTGGAGTTCTGGGAATGTGTGAGAAAGTCTTCTTTATATATAATCCAAAGAAGACAATACAAAATAATTGCATCTTCGAATGTGTCCAATATAACCCTCCATGAAGACTTAAAAATAGCATTTATTCAGTACAATTCAATTACTGCTTTCACTTTTAGAACCCTAAAATGCAAGAAGACCAAAAATGAACTTGATAGCTAACCTTATAAATGGTCGAAGTGGACTTGTCATTGGGGAAGACTTCATCATACCAAATAAGAGCATAACTCTGCTCTCAAGCCAGCACATTAGCTTATAGAATTATCTTTGTTTTGATTGTTAATAAATAACCATACTTTGTTATTTTATTGATTCTTCGTATGCTCGAATTATAAATATTTTATACATACCATCGCTAAAAGTTCTTGATTTGGATCAACTTCATAGTTATTTTTCTGAGCAAACACCATAGCCATGGAATAAGAAATACTGTAAGTCACAATTGCTATTGTAACTCCCTCTAATAAAACTTTATAAATAAGATCTAATGGTGGCGGAGTGGGGTCTGGAAATCTAGAAATTATGAGGAATAAAATAGTATTAGTATCTTTTGGTTATTTGATAAAATGTGTTAGATGTAGATGTTTATTCCATTTATGGATTTAAGTGCAATAGTAACTAAATGATTATTACCCTGTTGGGATAGTTCCAACTATTTTAACTCCATATTCTCCTTTTAAATCACAATATTTTGATATTATAGTTGCAATTGCTATAACAAATAATTCTACTGGTACAGGAATGGCCGATTTCTTTGCTACCATTGGCTAAAAATAGTTAAAATTTCATAATTAAATCCCCAATATATTTGTTAAGAGCGATATCCATGGTTAGAAACTGGCTTAAAAGGACTTCAAGGTTCTCTTTCTCAGTATTAAATATTTTTTTATAAACTTTGGTATACCTACTAAGCAAATGATAGAGAACCCCGCTGTAGAGCCCGAATTCAGAAAAACTTATTTTTTAATTATTTCTATACAACTTATGAAAATTATTGCAAAAAGGAGTCTTTACCGGGAATTGTTGTATAAAAATGAGCTAATTCTTTCCAATACACTTTTTTGTCCAAAGCGTATATTTTTTGAAAACCTTGAATTACGAAATCTGAGAAAATCTGTCAAGATTCAAATCCATATTAATTGATTTGGCAACAAGGCAGCGGACGTTGGCGGTGCATGCAGTACCGGAAAATTAGGATAAAAGTATTTAGGTAGTCATTTAAGTCGCTTAGGATGAAATTATTAAAAAACTTTATTCTTTTTAGTTCAAGTGTAGGTGTTTTCTTTTCTTATTTAGTTAATGTGTTTATATGAACTTTTGTGGGTAAGCTGAGTTATAATAGTTTGTCGTAAAAATGGGAAAACTTTCGGAAATGCCGAAAATGATATTTCCATTTCGACGGAAATCTATAAAGTATCGTGCAAGTATACTTAGAAAAAGACACACACTATCACCTCTTATTCTAGTCCAGTTCAGTTCCTGCCCTTCTAAGCATAAAAGTCAAAATATATGGGAAATTTATACTAAGTATGGAATAGAAAAAGAACCTTTTTTTTAAGCAATATTCACAAATTTAAAGCGGATGTCCAATAAATGTGGTTTATTTGCGGATTCCTAATTTGGTTTTTTAGGTCCCGACGGTTTATTAGGAACCGACAGTATTATCGACATTAAATATCCTGCTTCAAAAATGACTACGGAAAAAGCAATGGTTTGTAACATAATAAAATTTGCAATTATTAATGATAATGGCAAAATTCAATTAAACCGAAATCATAATTGTTAATATTACCAGGTTCAGGGGCAACTTTACGTAACTAAACAAAATATTTGTTTTTTTATTATTTTGATACCTTTAGGTATGTTAGTAGAAAAAATAAAAAAAGATGGTAGATTTTGGTGTATATGGAAAGCAAACTAAAGCAATTTTATTTAGATTGTATACTACCCGAGATCTTAGATCCACGTTTCACTAGAGGTTTAGATATTAGAAATCCCAGTAGAAATCCGAGTAGAAAACCGAGTAGAAATCCGAGTAGAAAACCGAGTAGAAATCCGACCAATAGTCAATAAAAATGATTATTTTTATTTCTTCTTTTACTAATAATAAATCATCTTACTCAATGTTATTTTTATTTATTTTTAGTACTAGAAAATAATTTTTTCTACAACTAAATGGATATTAGTTTACCTACGTACAGACTACAAAACGAAAAAATATGCTATTGAGTAAAATGAGTTATACTTGTGTAGAATCTATAAATAATAGCATTTCTATTTTTATTTGATTTATATTTAGAAATAAATAATTATAAATTTTAATAAAACTATATGAAATCCATTTAATTTATATTCACTTTTGTTACACAAACTACTATTTTCTACACCCACATGGATATGATTTTTTCTATACCCACATGGATATTAGCTAATCTACGCACATACTACAAAACTACATTGCGTTCAACTGAACGAATATATTTCATATCCATTCTACTTAGTAAGAACACTGTAAAACAGTTAAATCCACCAATCAGTTTATATTTTGGTCACCCGGCTACTATTATTTTTTAAATTTTATGTAAGTAACAATTCTGTCAAACTAAGTGTCAGTATATTTTTGAATTATTGAGATTAAATATACGTAAAAATAAATATTTCTTATGTATAATCGATAAGTAATAGCATTTCTATTTTTATTTCGTCCAAATTTAAAAACAAATCTTAAATTTTAATCAAACCATATGAAACTAATTAAATTACAAGTATTAGAACTAAAATGCTGGCGAATGGACTTAGTATCCGTAGTCAAGGGAAACCTAAATTTAATCACACACAGAACTAAAATGGCAAGTGTGGCGATGGCGTGAGGACACGAAGTTTGTCTCCAAGCGAGAGGCCCGAGTTCAAATCAAGGCTGGGAACTAATTAAATTAAATCTTTTTGTATGTTTATTTTATTTTATAAATTAGTAAAAGTCATACATTATTTTAAAATTATTTATTTTGTCTTAATAAAATACTTTTTTAAATTTGTAGAATTTCATTAATGTGTCGTAGAAAAAATATACTGTACAACTCGAGTGGATTGTCCGTATCGCACTCGATGATTAAGCACTCCGTCTACGGAGTCGTTTTCAAACTTCGTCTTCGTGCTATATGGCCATCATAACCAATTTTTTTACACAAACTACTATTCACGCACAGACTACAAAACGAAAAAATATACTATTGCGTTCAACTCAACGAATATATTTCATATCCATTCTAGGTAGTGAGAATACTAGGGCTCGGAATTTTTCAGATTTTTGTATTCGAATATTCGTTTGAAACTTTATTCGAATACCCAAATTATTCACTATTCGAATATTTCTAAGTATTCGAATATTCGAGTATTCGAATATTCGAATATTCGAATATTCGAATATTCGAGTATTCGACTATTCGAATATTCGATTATATGAGTATTCGAATATTCGAGTATTTGAATATTCGAGTATTCGAATATTCGAATATTCGAGTATACGATTATTCGAATATTCGAATATTCGAGTATTCGAATATTCGAGTATTCGAATATTCGAGTATTCGAATATTCGAATGTTTGAGTATTTGATTATTTGATTAACGTATAATTCATACCTGTTTGTTTTGGTATGATGCTTAGTTCTTAATTGATTCCACAAATTACTGGTATTACTTCTGTGTATGATATTGTAAGTTATTAATTTACACTGCACACGATTTTCTTTTTTATCAAAGTAAAGCCAAATCTTACTGCGTTCTGAACTCATATTTAACATCTGTATCGAACAAACGTTGACTGACAGACATACACCCACTAATATGAATAAAATAACTAGTAAGTTATAACTTAACAAACATAAACAAGCGTGTGAAAAGTGCGAATGTCAGACAACGTTGGGGTTTTTCTCATTTACCAAATAAAACGCAAGCACTACAAGGAAATAAATAAATAAATAAATAAATACATTGTTGCCGTAACGTATTAGTCCCGAATCTCAAGTCCGAATTTTGTTATTCATTTTTCTTCTACCTTTATTTTTAAGCAATAGATAAAAAAGAAATATTTAAATTAGGTATATAAATTAATTCAAAATATATATCCGAATATTTGAACATTTACAGTATTCCGATATTTAAGTATTCGAATAGTCAAATATTCGAGTATCGAATACCTACCTAGTTCAATTAGTCGAATATTCTCAACTATTCGAATATCCGACTATTCGAATATTCGACTATTCGAATATTCGACTATTCGAATATTCGAATATTCAACTATTCGAATATTCGACTATTCGAATATTCGACTATTCGAATATTCGACTATTCGAATATTCGACTATTCGAATATTCGAATATTCGACTATTCGAATAATTTCGATCTAAAAATATCGAATTTTGGGTATTCGAATATTCGAATTATCGAATTATCCGAATACAATTCCGAGCCCTAGAGAATACTACAAAAAAAAATGAAATCCACCAATCACAGTTTATATATTGGACACCCAACTACTATTATTTTTTAAATTTTAAATAAGTGACAATTCTGTCAAACTAACTGTCAGTATATTTTTTAGGTATTGAGGTTAAATATACAATAAAATGAGCTATTTTTGTGTAGAATCCATAAATAATTTTAATTTATTTTTATTTGGACTACATTTTAAAAAATTTTAAATTTGAATCAAACTACCTATATGAAACTAATTTAATTACTACTATTAGAACTAAAATTCTAAATGTGGAGGAGAAAATGAGGATACGGCATCTGTCTTTCACGCGAGAGGCCCGAGTTCAAATCTGGGCTGGGGACTAATAAAATTAAATATTTTTTCATGTTTATTTTATTTCACAAATTAGTAAAGTCATAAATTATTTTAAAATTAGTTATTTTGTCTTTTCCTAAAATAATACTTTACATTTGTAGATTTTCGTTATTGGGTCGTAGAAAAAACATACTGTACAACTCCAGCGGATTGTCCACGGTTGTTGCACAAACTAGTATTAAATGAATTGTTATTTAAAAAACGTATTTTTATACAGGGTATTTGTAAATAAGTAAGAAAGATTTTTGAAAATTGTTATCAAAATTATTTTGTTAAAAAAAGTTCCTATAAAAGTAGGTCAAAATATGCTTCGTTTTCGGGATACAGAATGTTTAAATTTTAATTTACTAAACTTTATTAAATATTTCAAATAGTTTTAAAGATATTTACTCTAAATTTGCAAAAAAACTTTGAAGGGACAAATGTGTATTTTTTGGGGTGTTCCAAATATTTCTACTTGCACCAGTGGCGTTTGTACGAGAATGCCATTTTTCGAAATAATCATAGGATATACATATGTATATTTAAAAATATATTTCGTAAATAAATTATTTAGTTAGAAAAAAGAGTTTCGAAAATGTTACACCAGGTTATACCTTTAAAAATATTTTAAACGAGAAAACAAAACAAAAATACTCTTTGTTAGACCGGACCTGCGATTTATCGGCCTTTTTTATATTTTATATCATCTATAGTTTATAAGTAATAAATTGAAGGGAGCGTACCTAAGTCTGGGAATAGAGCAACGTTGCCAAAGTGCGTTCAGATGCACTGAAAGTTGTCAGTGTGTTCTAAACCTGAATTTGCTGTTAGGTGTCGCACATAGATATATAACCAAGACAGATAGGATTATTTACAAAATTTTTGAAGAATGAACGGTGGTGTCCGCGGTAGAAACTCAATAATCGGATTGAACATTGATGCCAAGTTTACGTGCTTTTAACTATAGATATATATAACCAATAGAGATTACACAATTTCTGAAGTCAACGCGGATGATCCTCGACAGAAATGCAATATTTGGATAAAATTAAAATATTGATGCCAAGTTTGCGATGTTTTTAACTGTAGTAATGTTATTGCATTTGCTTGAATTACTGTTAGGTCTTTAAATTGTCAAAAAAAAAAATAATGTCTGACAACAGCGGAAGTAGAGTAGACCGCAATTGTGGAGGGTCGTATATTGTTTCATTCATAAAAATTCCTTCGATACAGTACTAGTCCAGGAGCCAGTGCATTTTTTCGTACTTGTTTTCCCGGTCCGTGTATATTCAAATAATCTATTCCCGGTGAACTGTATATTTAAAATGGAACGCCAATCTATTAACAAAAGTAAGCCAGATTGAATTCGCGCATTACGTCACATCGATACAAGTGAGATTGTTTACAAAGTGCCTTTGCAGGCATATTTTGCCCATTTCAAGTAATTGTTTTTAAATCATGTTAAATTACTATTTTTGAAACTCAACAAGGAGAAAATCCAATTAACTCTTCCGTTTTATTAGTAAAGTATTAATACTAAAATTTTAATGTAATTTACAGAAAATAGCTAGGTATGTATTTGTTTTTAAATAATTTGATAATTTATGAACAAAGGGAGTAAAAGTGGAATGACCCGTGGCCAGTAGGTCAGTCAATACAAAGTATCATATATTTCTATTATAACATAACTAAAATACCTACATCTTTTAATCATAAGGACATACGTTAAAAACCATTTTAATATATGCATTAGAATGAAATAATAATAACTTAAAGTGACGAGGTCTTAAAGTAATAGCTGGTACAGCATGTTTTTTAAACGTTTCCTCATTGCTGCTAGAATGAAATCACTTACTATGAAATGTGCTCTAAAAACGGCATTTATAGCAGTCAGTGTTCAGTCTTAGGATCTCTTCCTAAAGCCCTCATCCAAGCTGCATACATATTAAAAAATAATTTAAAAAAAAACATATTATATACCTATATAGTTTTCGGTTCTGGGTGCCCTAAAAGAGGACACTTAGCCGACGATTTGGCTCAGATAGCTAAAACCCAAAAGTCACACCCCGAACCAGGACGTATTGCTATCCTTTTAAGTAAAAAATAACTACAAATAACTTACCTGAAAAATGAAGGCGTCTAACTTTACACCAAAAAAACCATACACTTTTTCCCATTGTTGCAAGCACCCGATGACGATTAGGTAGATATCAACTAGAAGCATGTACTTAATGGTTATAAAGCTTATTTTAACACAAAAAGAATAAAGCACTAGTCGAAAAGCAGCAATCAAATATAAATAGACCACAATATTAAAATTCAAATTAAAAACTATATAAAAGACAAATACTCAAAGCGCAAAAGATCAGAACCAAATAAAATGAATAACCATAATAACCTAAAAATCACACTAAAATTGCAAAAACTATTACTGTAAAATCATGAGATTACATCAATAATTCATATGCGTCTGAGTATCGCAAATGTCAAAAGTACAGTGTTTCCATGAAAATTTAGCTATGTTTTTAGCAATATTATAGGACCATTTCTACCACGCGCATCCAACGAAATTGGCGTTCCACAGTTCACTGTATTTTCCTCACACCTCTAGTATAAATGATTTGACATAACGAAACTAACAATAATTATAATTAATGTAGAGTAATAAGTGATTCGTGAATTCTAAATAAAACAAGTATTATATAAAAGTGTAAAAGGAAATGTAATTTATTTCCCTATTTTCTTCTGTAATATCTTCAATTATTATGTTTAATTTCTATAAATAAACCAACTGGTTAGGTGAAACATTGTGATATAAAATTTTATTTATGTGTCTTATGCGTACACTTTAATATACAAAACACCTGGAACATTCTTTAAATAATTGTGGTCGTAGAAATAATTGTGTACATAACTCGTTTGAAAGTGTATTTTATGCACTTGCCAAATATATTATCCATACAGATTAATCAGACTATTTTTTTACTTAACTTCAATACATCTCTTAGTACTAAAACTATTTTTATCAATGGAAAAAAAGGGCCGTGTTCTCGTATGTTTTGACGCATTTTCGGCCTCAGCCCATCGGATCCCTCCTCTAAATATATATGAATTTTGTTAGAATTGCTAATCCTACAATTCTCTATTCGTGCTTGCTGACTGGGAAAATAAATACCGAAAATCGTCACTGTCTCCTGGACTATACAATAGATGATGATGAGAACTTCACAACAAATACTCTTTTATGAATGGCTAGTTGGGAATGTGGTGTCGCATGGATATCGCTCTTAAGTAAACTTTAAAAAAGATCACGGATATGGTAGGTTATCATTATTTTTCTTTTTAAATGATTTGTTTGATTTAGTTCACAGTCATGTGTAGTAATCACGTAGTAATCTTTGTATATTTTGATCATGGTTTACTTTGGAAACATTTTTTGTAGATCGTTGGCTATGGTATTGCGTTTAATATAGATCATTATCAAACATTTAACTATAAAAGAATCATGATGGTATTTTATTTTAAATTAAAATACAATAATCACAGTCCAATAATATAAGGAGGAATTTTTTTTTTCAGAAAATAATTTTATACCATTTGTTTTATAATTTTAGAAAATAAATTCAAATTTATTTAAAGTGAATCATGTGCAAGTTTTTGTAGGTTGTTCGCGCCTTCCTAACTCATCCGAGTGATTTAAGTCAATCCATAACCAATATATGTTTTTTTTAAGTCTAACTTCTTTGACGACATGATAACAGAAACTATCCTGTTGGAAAATTATATTTTTTTTGTAATTTTGGGTATAAATCAATATATTTGGTTGAAAATGTCCATAATGTATCGCTATCCCGTCAAATTTTCATCCACAAGTACAACGAGCTCAGTTCTTTCATTAGAACTGATGCTGCCTCAGATCATTACTTTTTCTACTCTAAAATGGCTAGTCTCTTGTACTATGTTGTCGTGGAATCTTTCTGTACGTTCATCAGGACTACATCAGAACTACGTACTTAAAAATCGGACTAGTTTGTTGTCATCCCAGTTTACTACAGTTTATGTTCATAACAAAATGATAGACAATTTGTACTGTTTATAATATATAAAGGCGTAGTAGATTTGCTTGCCGGAAAAAGTGAATTTTGAATTGCCTTTGTTACTTAATCCAATACTGGCCAGCAGATGTAATGCATATAAGAAGGCCGCATAGTCTCTTTGTTACGTCACCAGTTTCAAAAACCTAGTCCAATTTCTTAAAATAACAAATTGGCTTATACGAAGCTCAGTGGAAATTTATCGTTGGTGAAGTCCATATCCCCGTCGTAATTATTAATACCAAACAACTTTAAAATAAATATACTACATGGGTTGATTTAAAAACAATCCTGAAAAAACTAAACCTACTTTATTTATGAAAGTAGATTCATTTAAATGATTTTTAATATAAATTTTATTTATTTAAATTTGCATACCTTCAGAAATTGGACGTTTATAATTAAAATTAATATTACTATTGCTGATATAGTTAACGTTGCATAATTGGTTTCTTGTATTTTTTCTATTAAAGTCTGAAGAGTCTAAAAAATAATAAGTCATTAGATTTTCTATAATAACGAAGAATATATGTAATAAGTTTTTGATTTAACAGTTGTGTTTACCTTAATCGTAACGAAATAACCTTTCAGATCTGGTAACTTAATTCCTAACAGATCTTTTAATTGAGAAACGAACACCTGTATGGCTGCTCCAGTAGTAAATCCACTTACTAACGTGTCAGATAGAAGTACACTTACAGCTCCCAGTCGCAATATAAACATTAATAACTGAAACGACATAAGATTAAAAATTAACATATTAATAGTCTTATACTCCATTCCACCTGCATTTCTTACAGAATTGTCTTGCACAGACCACCCCATCCTTAATAATTAGTGAATATGAAGGATGTCGATGTAGCATAGATACATGTCTATTCCAACAAAGTTCAGAAACAAATCATAAATTACTGCGCATTGCGGTCCCAATAATCTACTGCGCAGCATACTGGTTTCTGATCGTTGTTGACACAGATTTCATGTGAGTTCTTAGATTGTTAGATCTCATAAGATACCATTGGTAATTAAAATGGATGTCGTTAGTAATGATAAGAATCAAGTACATCAGTCTACACTATAAAAAAATTACCTTGAGTGTGCTTGAACCCTGTGTTTTGCGTCAGAAGCAAAGTAAACTAATTTATTAACCTATTTTGCATACAGAAAAAATAAGGTAGGTATAAAATTTACAATATTTATATAAAGAACTATAGTACAGAACAATAATGTGTTAAAAACCATACTACAGAAATATTTATAATTTTAAAAATAATTTCCAACAAAAACGTTTTGAGATATTATTGAACCTTTTTTTGCCAAGTGAAGGGATTTTTTATAGTTAGTGTGGTTATGCAAATAATTTTTTTCGTAATTTAATATACCATAACCATGTAAATCACTTTCACTTATTTCAATGTAAAGGATAGTAATTTGTAGATATATATCGAGAGTACTGTCAAGATGCCATTACTAGACTACAAATTATACATAATGTTATGTATAATTTCTTTTTATTATATAATAATGTCTTTACATTTACGTCTAATTTTTAAAATAGTGGCACCCTGTGCACCTTGCAATAGCCTGCGGCTGTTATACGAAACGTACAAATATAAAAAGAAGTCACCCATCACCCTATAGTATGATTGTCATAAGTAAAAGTACTAGTATAAGCAGAAGAGAGAATAATCTAGAAATGTCATTCCCTATCAAGAAACATCTTGTATAGTTGAATTATAAAGTTGACTTTTAAATAAATTGAGTTACCAGAAACCAGTGTAACATTGGTGACAGCGGTGGGATATAAAATACAAATCATTATATTTATTATGGTAAACCAAAGCCACTGCGTACGAAACAAATAGGAGAGGCATAGAAAAGCGGAGGTGGAAATTACAAATGGCTACCAATTCAAGAAAACTTTAGGTAAGAGGTAGGTTAGCTAAACCGTCAAGTAGATCTCCTATCACAAAAAACAAAAGCAGCAGCAACAAAACAGTAGCAAGAGAATCTAAAAACTAATTTAGAGAATATAGAAGCTAATTTAGAGCGACAACAAGAAAAGGTGAGAGTGGAGTTGGAAAGGTAAATTAGAACTGAAATAATTGAGTTAAAATGAAGAATTCGTAACCAAGCATTGGTAAGCAATGTTGATGCCGAAAACATTACGTCGTCTTCATCTATAATCTAATTAAGCCACATTTGATTCCTAGTTTAACAGAAAAAGAATATGGGAAACGTATCAACTCCAATTTAAATCTGCAGCTAGAGCCAACGGCTAGGCCAAGAAAGAGATGACGGCTTTGTTGATAGTATCGCTACGTTTTACATTTACTTCTCCAAGAGGAACCAACTTATTCGTCTCTCGTCTGATATTTAGAGACAAGGTATGGCTAAAAGCATTTAAAACACTTGTTTCAAACCCAGTTAAAGGTTCCCGATATAAAAAGATTGACGCATCTGGCCTATCCATAGGCGCCTAAAGATTTTCCAGAACAAATCGGAATACAGGCCTTTATTGATGCAACAAGCTCTGCGGCTGCAACACCACAATGCGCTGAGAGACAATGACAAAGCAGCAAAAATTATGTATTGATCTTCCAACTCAGAACTAAGATAAATTAGATTTTAGGGAAGTGAAGAGACCACTACTAATACTATCCCACAAACTTTCATCTCGCAAATGTTGAACATCCTGCAAAATATTTTCATCGTAAAGAAAAGGAAAATTGAATTTCTATTAATACGGCACACATCAAATCATATACTGAACCATGCAATTTAATTAAACATCCACATGGTCTGGCGTAGGATTCGAAGCCCGTCTGTCTTTGACCAGAAACTTGCCTATAAATGAATGTAAGCGCGTTAGACCGCTACACCACCAACCCGATATCTATAAAGTTCTAAGCACTATCAGAAAGATATTAAAATAACTTAAAAAGTCGTTTTTTAACATTCAAGATAAAGGAATAATAAAAATTGCTTCGAAAGTGACGTCATGCGCAAGAATGACTAAATTTTGTATCGCTAACCGCCTCACCTGTATTTTTCCACCATGGGTACTATTAAATCGTAGATGTTTGAAAACGCTCGAGCAGCATCGAAACTTCGATACTCGAGTATTGGCCTAAACAAACCCTAAAATTTGAATAGAGAATAAGGGTCGAATTACATATCGTTTGAAAGCCCGTAGAATTATTTAAATAACAGTAGGTAGTTTTTTAAATTTGAATGAATCATAAAAGTTTTTTTTGCGTTTGATATTAAAAAGCTACACCGTTTTGGTTGTCACTGGACAAATTTTTGATACACATTTTATACACTTTTAATTTTTAATTCTCTTTCACACAAAACTAATTCCTGTTTCTCAGTTCATTCCTAGTGATTTTCCAAAAGGGCGTGGTACATCTACTTCTAAACCAAAATAAATAAATAATTGCAAAAAGAATTAGTTAATTGAACTGTCGAATTACTAAAAGGACTGCTGAACTGTTCAATCAACAATAAACAACAAACTAAACCGCCGGTGCATGAGGCAACAGAAGTGGCCATTTTGTGCCATGTGGAGCTTGAATATAAATATGCTGAGTTCATGAAAGTTAGCGGTATCTCATGAACTAATATTCAGTCTATTTTGAAAATCTACAAATTTCATCCTCACAAAATTAAATTAACACATGAATTACATGAAGATGATTTTGATCGGAGTTTGCGAGATAAGAAGTGAGCCAGTGATGGCACATCCTCATTTTCTTTTCAACATTTGCTTAAACGATGCATATTTTCGATATAGGAATGACTCTAATCCTCACATATTTTATGAGGACTACACTCAAAACTCAAAAATTAAACGTTTGGTCTGGAATTGTTGTCGGGCTGTTATGTCGTGGTCTTTCTCGGTTGTCTTCAGTGGAGTGGATGAAGTACTTTTTTCGACGTATCAACTGAAACTGAATATTGCTTCGTTCAGTGTGGTATTTATATGCGTTACAGCGCGCTATTTTTTGGCGTGACTGGGGTATTAGGCAGTTTTATTTTTGCAATTATTAATAATTATGTGTGCCAGATCCTAGGTAATGTTGTTTTTCCTCCTTTCTTTTGAAGTTCGTGTATTTCTATAGCCTCCAAGTGTAATTTGGTCGAATAATGGCTTAATGTTGCTAATAGGTTGGTGTTTTCAAAAAGGATCTTATGTTCTCCGTCGGATAATGTGTGTTCGGCAACTTCAGACTTTTCTCTTATTCGTGTATCAATGTTTTTATTTGTCTTACCCACGTGTGTCTGCAAAATTTCATGTTTGTCCAAGTTGTAATTTGTTTATCCTATGACACTTGATATTGGTCTTAGTGGTACATTATCTTTGTACATTTTTGGTAATCCATATAGTCCTGGTGGTAGAGCTTCAGTAGTTAAAATTTTCTTCTTTATCTCTGGTGGTAGTGATGACTGTTTTATTAATTTGGTGATTTGTTTAGTGATATCTTCATCCTCATTGAGACTCTTGAAATATTGCTTTTTGGTGGTTTGGCTTTCCGTAGAATTTTTTTTAGATTCACTGCATACCTCTTCATTGACATCAGGTGATAAAATTTTCAATTATAACTTCTATGTTAGCAATAATTTCTTCTATAGGAATCGTCTGTGGGGTTATGCTGAAATTTTCTCCTTCAGTTGATACGTCGAAAAGAGAACTTCGTTCACGCTACTGAAAATGGCTGCCGCAGTTGCAGCTATAACGTTTAGTGGTAGTAACCAAGAAAGACCATAGAAATAGTTACATGGACGCCGGCCGTGAAAGCCTACATTTTAACGTTTGGTCTGGATTTTTTTTTTAAATATTACATGGGCATTGTATCTGAAACTCCTTGAATAAACTGAAATTACTGAACATTATTAGTTGATCAGTTGATATTTTAATTAGACTCTACCTTTTCTGTAGTATTTAGATCGACACTTTTCTGGTCACTGAATTGAGAGGCGGAGTTCTCTCTATATAATCACAAGAATTTTCTTCTTTAGATTTTTTTCAGTAAAGTAATATTAATTCTACTCCACCGGCTTCAGTTGAGGATTTACGGCAACGAATATTTCAAATGCTTTAAAATTTGACTCTAAACTTAATATAGTTAAAGAAATAAAAACCGCTCACAGTTGTTTAGATAATCCAACGGGCATTCGACAATGTACAACTCTATTCCTATTTCTTATTCAAATTTTAGGGGTTGTGCATTTCACTGCACGAGAGTTGAAAAGGCGATGATGCATTTACAGAAAAAATGTCCCTTTGCAATTTTAAATCGACTTTTCCAAGCAATTTTGAAAATATATAATAATAATACCCAAAATCCCCATCTCAAGTTTTATAAAAGCTTGTATAAAGGAAAAATCAAAGTCAACTAAAACCAGTTAAAATTAATTAATATTTCTTACCTGTACCAATGCCACAACCAAACTGAGTGCACTTGCAACCTGAGTTGGACTATAACCAGTTGGCACTATTGTAACGGTTTCATTATTATTATTCATATTGTCTGGAAAATATGAAGTATCGCTGTGCTCTAGAACGACTTTTCCAACCATTAACGATGTTATAGCAAAGGTTCCTGAAATATTAGTAATATTAATAACTACAACTCGTTGAATATTATCTTTGACATTTTGAGTCTAGTTTATTTCATTCATGGTTAACTGGAATCCAGTTACTTTCTAAACTTCCCTTTTGCCCAAGAGGTATGTTTTTTCGTTTATAACACATCTGTATGGTCCCTTATCTATTCAAGATTATTATATTCTACCATCGACAATACTGGGCTAATAGTTCAAAATTGTTTAGCTTTGACGTCAATTATTTATTTATTTTTTAACCGACTTCAAAAAAGGAGGAGGTTATCAATTCGTCGCGATATTTTTTTTTTTTTTATGTATGTTCAGCGATTATTCTTTAACACGGTGTCCGATTTCAATGATTCTTTTTTTGTTAGAAAGGGGGTATTTCAGGGGTGGTCCCATATAAATTTAGTCAAAATCTAATAATTGGGTCCATGAGAAAATCCTCAAACTCTTCATTTTTTATGTATGTTCAGCGATAATTTTTTAATACGGTGTCCGATTTCAATAATTCTTTTTTTGTTAGAAAGGGGCTACTTTAGTGGTGGTCCCATATAAATTTGGTCAAAATCTAATAATTGGAATAATGAGAAAATCCTCAAACTCTTCATTTTTTATGTATGTTTAGAGATAATGCTGTACCACCTTGTCCGATTTATACAATTTTTTTTTGTTAGTAAGGGGGTACCTCAGGGGTGGTCCCATATGAATTTGGCTAAGATATGGTGATGGCATCTGCCCGTTTTTGAAGTCGGTTTTTTTGAATTTTTAATTCGTAATACTTGTTATAGTTATGGGTGTGTTTTGTTTTGGGTTCTATATCTATGAGTTAATCTGTAAGTTGCCTTAAAGCGCCATGGCAAATAATAACAACATAGTTGTCCCTCTTCGACACCAGCTATGCTTACAGAGTTGCAGGGATCACTTATAATGGGGTAAATTATAAAAGATTATTATTTAATATTATGACACTTTACACTAAAGAAAAAATATGTAAACCCTTCCGATCTCTTTGAAAATCGTTGTGGATAGCTTTTTCGGCTAAATAATTATTTCATTGTTATTCTAAGAATATAATAGAAAAAATAAGGCCCTTAATGCAGTAGGGGTTATTCAGAAAATGTATTGCTGCAGAAACTAAATACTTTTTAGTCCTAATAAGGTTTTACGCCACTATTATATTATTCACCTCATTGGGAATGACCTCATTATCATTGACTTTATTGGAATTTTATCATCTAGGATTTGGTCTAAATTTTGCTAGAGGTTCTTTAGGGCTGTTTGGCTATAATGGTATATGGTAAGTGTTGATTTGTTTTTTTCAGTATTGTATGACTATTATATTAGTATGTAATACTGTACTATATTTTTTTATTTTGGTTTGTTGAACAGTGTGTCTCAAACTATCTTAGCATGGAAGGGAGGTTATTATTGAGTAGCAGATAAGATAACTTACAGAAAAAGGTAGCATCCTGAAGTTAATAATATGAATTGAATACTCATTTATGCTTGCGACATTTTGTGTACCCACAATAAATAATAAAAAAAGTTTGAACACACTTGTTAGTGCTACTTACCCATTGAGTTATGCCTGGAAGTTCCAAGTATTATATAAATAAGTACAGGAAAAAATGTGGTATACATGCCTACTACTGCAGAAGTTTTAGCTAGTAAGCCATATGCCATACCTAAAATTATTATAACATATTTTTAATTTGATTAGCGTTTCTTGAATTATTGGTCGTCTCAACTTGTTTGGCATTTGTTACTTTTTTTTCAACTTTACCTTGCGGTATATTCATGATTGCTAATGTTAAGCCAGCTATAAAATCCGGCAAAAGATCTTTCCTCCAATTGTACCGCAACAGCCAATTTAAAATTGGAAATGTATTGTAGATAATTTTTTGGCATTTTACTTCTGCCGGCGTGCACTGCGGTTTTAAATCTGAAAAATAAATTTTATAAATAAGATAGGTTTTCAAAATGTTAACGTAAATGTAGTTTATGGAATGCTGGTAAATGAATTTATGAAAATTAACTTTAACACCCTGTAAAGTAAATAGAGATCAGCTTATCATGACAGGTATTAATAGGTATTGATAGGTATATTGAGTAAGTTGTAAATTAATACATCACAGACAGGATAAAGAACAATACAGAAAAGAAACATAGGGCTAAAACAGGAACCTAGCAAACGAACCCACACTTTCTTCATAGTGGAGCATTGTCAAAAGTAAACCGTTTGGTATCTTAATCGATTAAATCGAGAGATAAAGATACCAGGCTCCTATTTGCAACGACTTAGAGATCGTAGATTTGTCACTTGTTCGAAGTGCAACCGTGCACAGTTTTGTAGCAAATGAACGAAGCTGTCACTACTGTCGCTGTCAGAAAATCAATATTTTTTTGCCTGTCGTGTCTTTATTTGTCGTTTTGGTTTTTTTGTTGTTTTTAGCGAATATTCTGATAACTTTTACGTTTTTTTAGTGGTTTATTTTTAGTTTTTGTTGCTGTTTTTAATTGTAGAGTGTTAATTTAAGACTGTATTGTACGTATTAAGATTAGGTTTTTAAACAATTTTGCGTCAAAGAGGAGGAGGATATACTTGTATTTATGGTGGATGTACCTCAAGAATAGGTGGCAAAGAAGGATTGTTCACTCTTGTGAAAGATCCAGTGAAGTATGTATGAAACATTGAGGGTGAAATAGTAATTGACCTTGCCATAACATGAAGCCATTCATGGTGCAGACTGATAGTAGTGGTTATGGCCTTGGTGCAGTTTTAAGCTAACCTCAGGAATCAGGAGACAAGGTGGTTAGTTATCTTAGTAGGTCTCTCACACCTCAAGAAAGGAATTATTCGACGACAGAGAGGAAGTGTCTCGCTGTAATTTGGGCTATAGAACTTTTGAGGCCTTATTTGGAAGGCGTTCCCTTTACGGTGATTACGTACCATTTTAGTTTGTTGTGGATGCAAAAGTTGGGGAGTCCCAAAGGTCGCCTTGCGCACTGGGCTGTTAAATTGCAGCAGTATAATTTTAAGCTGGTTCACCGCAAAGGCAAAGATCACATGGCTCCTGATGCACTTTCTCGAGCCATCCCTGTGATTGATGAGGTATTAATTGAGCTCAATCCTGAAGACGTGTCATTCCCTGATGGCAACAATGATAAGTGGTATCGAGGTATGATAGATAAGGTTGCTCGCAATCCTCTTAAATGTCCCGCTTTCAAGCACGTAAAGGCGAAGTAGTCACAACTTTTAACGCCTTCTGATCTGTGGAAGATAGTAGTTCCTAAGACCAATAGACCCCGTATCATCTCTGAAGCTCATGATCCTTCAACTTCTGGTCATACTGGTGTCTTTAAAACTTATGGTAGGGTAGCTGCCCTGTACTATTGGCCTAGAATGAGGTGTGATGTGGCCTGTTATGTAAAACGGTGTGAGGTTTGTGCAGCTCATAAAGTACCTAAAGGTATGCCGGTGGACAAAATGGTTTTTCATCCAAAGGTTGATAGACCTTGGGAGATGATATGCACTGACCTTATTGGACCTCTGCTTCGCTCAAAACATGGTAATTCCTTTATCTTGGTTGTTACTGATTATTTAACTAAATATGCGCTGTTATTCCAGCTAAGGAAGGCTACGGCGACAGCCGTTGTTCGTAAGATTGAAGAGAAAGTATTTTTAGTTTATGGGGTTCCTTGTGTGTTGATTTGTGATAATGGACCTCAATATAGTAGTAAGGATTTTCTTCATCTTGCGGCTAGGTATAAGGTTAAGATTAAATTTAGCGCTAACTCTTGTGAACGGACGAATCGAGTCATCAAAACTATGTTAGCGTCCTATGTGTTGGGATGAGAATATTGCACGAATCGGTTGTGCCTTACGTACTTCCACTCATAAGGTGGTGAAACTTACTCCTTTCTTTGTTAATTTTGGTAGGTCTATGATGTTGTCAGGTGTAGATTATGTTGTTAAACCAGATGTAGGTATTGAGGCTGGTACACGTACTCCTGAGATTAGCAAAAACGAGGTAATGCGTTCTATGTACTCAGATGTTCGGAAACGGTTGGAAGTTGCGAATCAGAAGGCCTGTAACACTTATAATCTTAGGCGTAGACATGTCGAATACTTGCCGAATTCGTTGGTCTGAAAGAATAATTATGTGCTTTCATATGCTTCCAAGTATTTCACTCACAAATTGGCTCCTCGTTACGTAGGCCTTTTCATCATCCATAAACGTTTGTCCCCTTGGACTTACGAATTGCGAGACAGAGACGGGAATTCGAAAGGTGTCTGGCATACTAAGGATTTGAAGCCGTACTCCTTGGAGGAACCAGTTGATGACTAATTTTTTTTATTTATTTATTTTATTTTTTTCCTTGGAAGTCAATGGGTGGCTTAGGGTTCCCCGAGCTTCTCGTGCATAAGGGTATGTCTATTTCGCCTCCGTTGGGAGTTTCATTAAGATTAAGTTAATTTTAAGAGGGTTTAAATTATTGGTTGTATCGCCTCCAGTTTATTTGTTAGAGAAAATTACGAGGTAATTTTTTTTGAAGTGGGGGGGGATTGTTACGGTTCGTTTTTGTCAATCCACTTTAACATTATCGTCATTATAATCATATGTTGCTTTAAACTTGAGGAAAAATAAAAAAAATAAATAAATACATATAGATAAAATTTTAATTATCATCTAATGATAACGTTCATAATAAAAGATGTTAAAGTACATAAAAATACAGTTGAACCAGGTAACTGAAGTGCCCAAATAAGTATCTAGAATAGTTAAAGAAATTAGATAAAATACATAAAAGGTACTTGAAATATATAAGCAACTTAATTAGATTGATTATAGTGTTAGCTAGTCTATATGAAAAGGGTAGTTTAGGTAAACTATTTTGCTAAATTACTTATACTAGATAATTAGAATAAATGAAGATTTAAAATTTCCAAATAAATTGTTTAGCTATTCCAGAAATACAAATTCCAATAAAAATGTTTAAATGTAGCAGTTACGGAGTACCTGAAATTTATTTTTATCTAAAGTAGTACCTATCATAAAGTTTCGGAGTCCTATTTGCCTAAATTGGCCCGATGTACGGGTACAGCTTCGGCATATAGGAAGGGCATGTCCGCCCAGCCGAATGTCTGCAGCCCACTACATTGTAGTCGCGTTCGTATATGTATATATAGTTCGGCCCGTAAAGATGCCTCCCATACCCGGCTAGCCAAATATTAGGATGCCTACCATGTCTGAAAAGTCAAATATGGACTACATGCGGTTTCTTCTTCTAAATTACGTCAAATGGTACGGTACTCCCAGTTCAGAAGCAACCACGACAACGGCAATCCTTCCCGTACATGCCGGTGTCAGGCCGAGCGAATGCCGACTATTTGTGGTTTACTTGGTTTTTTCTATGTTAATTACTTTCATTTTTATTAATTTGGTCACATAACTCATTTGTTCTCTTTGTAAATTTTATAGTAACTCATTTATAATTTTAAGAATGTTTGTAGTACAAAATTTCCCGCCACTAATCAAATTCACTTTCAAAAAACAAAATTAGTCATTCATATCTGTCAATATTCACAATTTAGGGTTTTTATTTCCTCATGTTGGCAGAATACTTAACATCAAAATGTCAAATCACTTGTCATCTGTCTGCTTCATCTGTCATTTGCCTTTTACGGCGCACCTACAGACTTCAATATAAAATCAATTTTATCGTTTTGTTTTTTCCCCAGGGAAAAAAAGAAATTTTTCCAAGTCGGGGTCAATCCTCTACGGTTTTCCAACGAAACAGAGTCCTGATATTCAAGTTCAATTCAATGCGGGTGTCTTTGAATGGCTGATCACCGGTAACCTTGTCACCAGCTGTGATTTTCGTCGTTGCTATTTTATCATTTTTATCTTTCTTCGATGTCCCTGAGTCCCAATAGGAACACGTGGAGAACGGTTTTTTATTACAAATATTCTTTTAACTTTTTTTTGCCAGATTTTACCAATAATTCTGCTTAATAATAATTTTTGAAAAGTAAGTTTTGACTTTTGTACTTTTTATTCAGTTTGCTTTATAAGTCCCGATGATGGCATTACTATAGTCTATTTTTATGTGTGAGAGAGTAATAAAACAGCATTTCTAATGCAAAACTTAGTACGGTCATTTTAAATATTTTTACAGAATATTCTAAATATTTCCTAAAATTGTAATAAATGTATCTGAGCTATTACAAGTTTTCGGTCTTTTATTGGTCCTTTATAAACATAAGCTGTACAGAACAATAGAAAAAGGTTTGGACAGGCCAAAAGCCCTGTGTATTAAAGATTACATAGCCGTATCTTAAGATTATTTTCAATAACTACCTATTCGCCAATTTTTTTGATTTTAATTCCAAGAATTTCTTACAGTAATCGAATTATAAGTAGATAAATACCTTCCCAACAAATTTCACCGAAAATGCAATTATAGGTTTTCCATTTAGTAAGGAGGTCCAAGTAAAGCTCCAGGAAAACCAAAATTTCAATTAGAAAATCTTTTGAAAGAAAGACTTCGAAGGAAAGTGCATGCGTTCTTCTTTAGAAAAGAATTTCCGACAGTAGACAAAGTTCTTGCCACGGTTCGAGATGAAATGAGTCGAAGCACACTATGGAAACTTTTAAAAGAAATAGGTTTTCTATGGAAAAAGCATTCCAGAAAGTCTATTTTAATAAAAAGAAGCGATATTGTAGTATGGAGAAGAAATTACCTAAGGACTATAAAAGAAATGAGAAACCAAAGAAGAAATATATTTTATTTAGATGAAACATGGATCAACGAGGGACATAAACCAAATAAATTTTGGCAAGATGAAACTGTTACAAGTCGAAGACAGGCTTTTTTAAATAATTTATCTACTGGTTTAAATCAACCATCAGGAAAGGGGCGCAGACTAATAATAGTACA